CCCATCCCACTTTGTTTTTGATAGAAAGTTACCGTTCATCACCCATTCTTGAAGTAGTGTGGAGATTGTGTTTTAAGTAGAATGAAGATATGACATAGTTGATAAAGATGGCATTTTCTAAGCAATATCCGCCAAAGAGAGCGGCTGATTCTTGAGCGTCGTGCTCCAGTACACCCTTTGCACCTTCCAGGGAATTTCTGTGCAAACAGTCTCGTCACCACCGACTAAGCAAGATTCCGTTCTTCCCTGAGATTGACCGATAGAAAATTTTCTTCCATGGACTACGGTAATCCTTTTCTCAAAGGAGGCTGTTGCGCATCAACTAGTTCGATGTTTGAGCTCAAGTGATCTTGATCCGAGCCGCACCTTGATACAGAGGCGATATTTGTGTTGGGACGGGTAGCGGCAATATTTTGGACCATATCGCGCCGAGGACACATAGGTATTCCAATGCTACGGAATAGTAGCCTAGACGTCAATGGTTCCGCGGGGGAATATGTTCTTTAGCTTTTTCATACTCTTTGGGTTTCCGAAATAATGCTCATAATTCCGTATCGGTACCAATGGGCTGCATAGACTGAATACACAAAGAAAGGAGTCATCGCGGCCAGGTTCTAGCTCTTTTGGTCAGTCGTTCTGATCGTCTGAGTTCAGAACAGACACCGTCGTGTGATGATTTGCGTTTCACTGCTCCATCATTATGGCAGCTATGCGGTAGGTTCTTCCAAACGGAAGTACTGGTTTGGTCCGTTGTTTCCTGAGTAATAACGTCGCCAGTCATTGGAGGGTCAGGAGCATCGTCAAACTCCCCAACTTGCGAAGCATTGCATCTACCGGACGCAGGCGAAGGCAGCTTGCGATTGGCTGAAGACTGTTCAGAAGCGAAGGTGAGGAAAAATCTTGGGTCCGCACTATCCAAGTGAGTGCTCAGAACAACTCTTCCAAAGAATTCTTCTTGGCCTCCATGCCCTGAGATTGAAGAGGGGCAACTTTTATAACGTTCGATGGAAACTCGTCCGAGGAAGTCGAGTCGGCCATTAGTCCCCATTTGGCATTCTGGAACGGCCGATTCAATGATCACAATGCCGTCAGGCTGCTTTTCATTTGTAAACATATTGGCATTGTGATCGTCCTGATAATGCTTCAGGAGAAAAAGGTGAGGAAGCATTTTGGGTCTGATCCGTTCAGGAGGACGACCATAATGCCTCGTCCGAAATGAATATCGTCTTGAACGCAATCTTCTAGGTTAGAAGTCGAACCTGACCTAAAGGATTTTCGGATAGCCAGTTGGTTAACCATAAATCCTTCTGGCCCAGCAGCCACCATTTGGAGCTCTGGAACATACAATCGTATGCTGAAGGGCCTGCTGCGCTTGGTTCTTGTTGTTATTTGGTCCTTTCAGAGATTGTTCCTGGGTTTTGAGATGGCCACCGTGAAGCTATACAATCAGCGTGAACGGACGGAATAACTATCGCAGATGTAGCATTCACTGGCTGATACGGATAGCGGTTGAGACAGTCCAGTCGTTCACATGCACTGACCAGCTTGGTCCCGGTGCTCCCCGGTTCGGAAATGATGCGGACACCATCAGCCAGTATGCGAACGCTTTTGCTCTCAATTTGCGCCCTCAAGACAGATTTGAAGCCCCGATCCACACGGGCAATTGTCCAGTAAGAGTGATACGCAAAAGCTCAATAATCAGCTGATTGACTGACGTGCAAGCCAAAATGCCTTATCTCGAGTACCGCATTGACTCAAGTCAACGGCGTGCAGTATTTTCACTATTGGTCTATATCACCGGGCCATGCTCTCGAATATTCACCGACTAGGTGTAGAGGGATCGGTGAGACCAACGATGACGACACATAGACGCCACGGTGTTGGCGACTAGGCAACCGAGAGCCATTCTGCGACGTCAGGGCAGTGCAATGTAACCTTGGTTGGGCGGACGGAGCAGGGCATGGCGTGTCAAGGGTATACAGTATTTCGCAGTTGTGAAGGAGGCTGGCAGAATCAGAGGCGGACGAGGCACGCAGGCAGCGGGAGACCTAGATAGCTTTGTAGCAGACTGCATAGTCACTTCCTTTGGAAGGGGGAGGAGTATCAACCTACTCACATAATGCTACAGCAGGCTATATTATCCTAGTGGTTCTCCTCCTGTACAATTACCATTCCAGCTCAGGGAGCAAGGACGAGCTGGGCGTCAGATCGAGCAGCATCTCAGTGAAATGAAAGGGGCAGTGCGTCGGGCTGAAAAGCCAGGGCGCAGTGGTCGGTGGGGGCCAGAGAGAAAGAAAGGGGGCAGCAATGAGTGCAAGATAGGGGAGTTAAAGTAAGAAAAAAGAACGACAGAAGTGGATGCTAAGGGCAGGTCGACTCTTTTATATCAAGGCGACGGAGGGAGAGGTGAGAAGACGGTGTATTGGGTCGCTAGGCCAGAACCACATCTAGTAATTCACAGGTCCCTATTACAAAGTATACATCAAAGTCCCATATCCCAGCTGATCATACCCTCCACTGTTTGGTCCATAGTCTCCTCCGCCTCCTTCCGCACCGGCGCCGTTTTTCACGACCAGGTCACGATATTGCTTGGTGTACTTGACGTTCAATCCCTTCAACACTCCGTAATGGTTGTAAAGGAGCTCCCACATGGGCCGGATATCCCCACGGCTGGCATTGCTGATGACGGTCTGAGTAACGTCGCTGTTGGTGTAGGTCGTATAGGGCACATCATTGCCCAGATTGTACTTGGCGACGTACTCCGCTCTGTTCAGGGTCAGTATGATATTAGCACGAGCAGCTCATCAGACCTACCCCGCGAGAATGCGATTGTCCAGGTATCCAAACAAGTCATCGCCTTGATTATACGCCGTCTGGGCAATAACTCCCAGCAGAGCGAAATCCAGCATCGCATGGCCCTGATCCCGGCCCGCTTCCTGTCCCTGTCCCAGCGTCTGCCCGTCGACCTGGTACAGCTTCCAGATCATCTTTTCGATCTGGCCATTTCCAGCCCCGGTCTTGAAGTAGTTGATACCCTCGTCGTACATGGTGCGATTATCGGTCAGCACCCCGATGGACATCACCGAGGCGATGTTGCACAAGTCCCAGTTCGCCCAGTAGTGGTCGATGGCGGCACCGTTGTGCTGTTGCAGGAAGATGTGGTTGAGCGGGTAGAAGACCTTGACCATCATGTTCTGGAACTGGGCGACATTCTGCGCAGACCAGCCGCTGTATGTCCGCATAATCTCCGCCGCATTGGCTATCTCGTAACCATAGATCCCCGCGGCCAGGAACTTGTCCGAGGACCCGGAGATGCCGGTCAGGGTGGAGGCCCAGGCGTCGAGGATGCTGACTGCTTTGTCCGCGTAGGCCGTGTCGCCGGTCACCTTCCAGTAGATGGCGTTGACATAGGCGGCAGCAATGTCCCTGTACAGCGACGCATAGTTCTCCGAGTGAGTCCCGTCACTGCCGCGGTACACGACGCCCTGTGGACTGGGGTTGTAGCTCAGCGACCGGTATGAGCTGCCAGCCAGCTTGTTCCATCCGGTGAGCCATGGTTCCGCTTTACTGTTGGCCTTGCTCGTGATTCTGGAAAAGTCGGCTGCTGTGTGGAGGAGCCCTGGATGAGCGAAGGCGCTGCGTTCCTGGATGGAGCGAGGGAGCACCAGGGCCTCAGACAGTGCCAGTAGGCCTGACCAGATAGTGAACTTCATCTTGTCGTTTTATGATGACTGCTCCGAGGATGATTGTTCAACTCTGCCTTCTTTGGCAGCTTATATAGCACGGCTGCCGTACTCTCTTCCAGCTCATCCTCCTACTTCGACCTTCATACTCAACGGGTCAATCCCGGTTCTTACACCGGCTCTTCTGTTTGAGATATACATATCCGGCCTGTCCTAGTCACATATTCCCAGAAAAGGAAAAAAGGGGCAGGAGAAATTCCGGGGCCCCGCGTCATCATGAAGATTATTTCCAGATTGGGCTGACCTCCGTTGTAGGCTGATTAAGTGAGGGGTATCGCACCCTCGCCAATTTAAAGTCAAGATATCCCGTGCCTCATGGCTCGTTATGTCGGCAGATCCCTCCTCTTTGAAGGTTCGGAGAATTGCGCATGATGGTCCTCACCTGACAAGCTTATGGTTAACGGAGTATTGTCCGGCCGTCTTCCAGAGTATGAGGACGATCATGAACGTCAAGAAACATTCTCCTCGCCAATGTAGGACGGTGAAGACACGTCTTCACAATAGTGTCTAAAACGGTATGAGATCGTCTCCCCGTTACCAGGAGCGTGGTAGGCGGAGGATTGGCCTGGGATCATCCTCGAACGGAATAACGACCGGAAATCTAGTATCAAGCCCGTCTCGAGCCTCGTGTGTGCTCTCAATCCTATCAGTAGGAGTCTTCTAATTTTAAAAAAGAGGACAACCAAATTCCAAGAGACAGGGAGGAGTGACGCCCTCAAGCCAACGTCAACGGTACTCTATTCCACTACATACTCGGGAGGCAGGATTCATGAATGCAATGATATAAGTGCGTTTTAACCGATTTATATCGTGGCTTACAATGAAATGAACTCTTCTTGGGATGTCAGAATGCACTCCTAAGTTGTTCTGGCCTCTGTAAAAGTACATTTCAAGATATTAGGTTTGCACATCAGCTTTAATTTGAGCTGGCTTCCTCGGGCCCTGACTGAAATGGTTCGCCTTAGGTCATACAAGTCAAAACCTTGACTGGGTTAGATAGGTATAAATATCTGAATAAACATAATATATATGTAGAGGCCATTTTGTTTATAGATATGGAGATTCACTCAATCAATAAAGGCGTACACAGCCCTCTTTATGGTCGCAGGCCTTTTCCCATCCGTCTGGCCACCGAAGCCTTCCACCCCACACTCTCTCAGCTCCCCCAAGGCTTTCGTTTTGCTTGAGCAAGATAACAAAAGGGCGCTCTGAGCCTTTATAGCCTTCTTCGGGGTTATATCCCACTAGCATGCATTCCTATTCTCGTCGACAGATTTCATCTTTCTTTTCAGTACTCAGCTCAGGGTCATCATCCGGGAAGTGGATTGGTGTAAGCTCCCACTCCTCATCCGGAGGGATAATTGCGAATACTGCTGTGTCATACTCAGCGAACCTCGGGTCCTTTGCACGGATGTATTCAACAACACGGAGCGGCAAATATATCAACTGCACTGGAATTATATCTGTGGTAATATCGAGCCAGGGGTAGTTGTATGGCTCCTGTCTATGTGTGCCCGGACCGAGCCCTGATCCCCAGAGGTCGATTCGGCGATCCATTTCCATTCCACCTTCGGCTTCCCAGTAATCACTCCATTCGACTGACTCTTGACTGCCTTTCCCGGACTGGATCCGGACAGAAATATACGGGCTCCTGTGATTGAGATATCCCAGCTCAAAAGATTCCACAATGCCATGCCATCCTGCCCAGGACCAACTGGGGAAGATGTTGTGTCTTCCAATGGCCTCGCGCGAGCCATTGTTTTCTGGCGCCCCTAAAGTCCACGCCATCCCAGTAACCAATGATGATGGAAAAGTTTCTGGGGCCGGAGCGAGTAGCGGGATGCCCCAAAAATTATATACGGTCCGACCATTGTCTTTCTCTACAAGCCCAAGCACTCCTGCAATAGCGTTCAAAGCGTCGTGGCTATTGGTGAGGGACCGCTGCGTATAATGCTTGATGTATCGAGGAAAATCTTCGCGCCCTTCGAATTCAGTTGCCTTCCGAGTGTACTGGCAGAAAATGGGTTCCCAGAGGTTATCTCGGAAACGGGATTTCCCCTTTATATGGTGAGCGTCCAAAGGTATATGTGTAGACTCCCAGCATCTCATGGCTTTGCATTCAAAGTAAACCTGCTCCTCTGTGAATATCAGGAGTCGTGGTGAAGCTATAGCCTCTTGGTATGTCCAGCCCCTCGTAATCCACGGAGAAGCCTGAATCAAACACTGGGGATTCCGCAGAGTGGACATCCACTGCTGTCCTGCCAATTGTACTGTTGTCTGGCACCCAGTTCGGGGTTTTGACACCCCGAAAAGCCCATTTTGCCTGTTAGATCCGGCCCCGTCGACGACAGTGAGATATGCATTCTGGTAAATTGCATACATACTACTCAGCTGTTGTTGTATTTTGTGTGGATCATGCTGTTCGATGCAATAATTGTCCACCCATATATAGTTGATTCCGAGTTGTTCCGCGATCTTGATGACATCGTCAACCACTTTCGGTGTTGGATCGTGTCTTGAATGGGTTCCATCTTCTTTTGGGCCCCATACATAACTCAACGCTATGTATGGAACTGAGGGCGGCAGGTCCACTGTCTCTTTGATTCTATAATCATAAACTGTGATGCAGCCCCGGATCTCGTGAGGTGATCTGCGACAATGATGGTGTGCATTGCAGTATGAGATGCAGTTGTCAATGAATGTGACATCAACTGCGGTCACATCTACCTTTCTGCTTGAGATACATGAGAGAGAGGGACCCGCATATGCTGGTATCATAAATTGTGGCACGTGTTCTCGAATGAAATCCATCACGTTTCTCGCTTCGACAAACAAATGCTCGGGGACGACTGCCAGCATACCTACGGTATCAACATGCTTCGTGTGATGGCTATACAGCCAGAAAAAAGATCTTGTGCTCGAAAATAACCTAAGCTCAAAGGACGGGTTCCCCTCCAGGTTGTATGACTGAATGCTGCGGCTAATAAATTGGCACACGGCGCAACATCGGGTAGTCGAGTATGAGAGGTTGCTGCGGATGATGATACCTTTTTCCTTGACCATGGAAAGGTCTTTGGTGGTTATATCAGAACATAAAAGAACACATTCTTCACATAGAGAATCGTCTGCATTTTGAGATGGGTGTTGTTTCGAGGGCCGCTCGGGATCACATTGCAGCTTCTGCCGTTTGACTGCATCGTCACTTGAAGGTCTTCTCTTTCTAAGGCGTGCGGAACGACGGAGCATTTTCTCTTTGACTGAGATTGACTTGGTGTTAAAGAAATTGGTCCCAGGTGAAAGCAGGAGAGAGAAAAAGTAAGCAGGAAACGAGCAAGCACCTTCCGTATGTGATATCGAGGTATGCCGCAGCTTTAGCTACTACTGGTCTAAGGAGAACAGAATGCATCGCACTATCCAAGCCACTGCATCTTTACAGATTTGGTCAGTTACAATCTAACGGAAAGGCTCTTAATTGCAGTGGCAGTGGGAGACGTGGGAATTGGGGGCGAGGTCATTTTGAATGCAGCCTCACCGATCTAGCCCACCAACCAGAAAGATAACCTTGTGTCACGAGCGAAGCAGCGCCTGAGAGAAGACGATGCCCTGGTGCCCCCAGAGAGCGCTAATGCACACAGCCGCAGAGGACAGTCCAATCTGGAGATGCGATAAAGTGAACATTGGCGCCTAAGGTGTGATTATTCCTGAGTCACGGTGGGCCAGCCTCATTGACAGGTAAATTACTGCATTGTTTTCAAAATTTAGGGATCTATATGTACTACTAGACCTCAAGGCACCCCAGGATCCCCAGGTCATCCTAAAGTAAACCACTCTCTGCCTATTCCTTTACCCCCTATAGGATGCTTCCCTCTATGACTAGTAAGGGGTTGTTGAGAGGCTTAGACTGCTCTGCTCTCTGTGTTGTGCTACTGTAGAAGACTTTTGACAACTAATGGTGAGATACCAGGATTCCAGCGAATACTATATACGCCGATTTATCTCAATTCCGAGCCCGTCCTTGGCTGAAAGGTATACTTTGGATCGGCGAGGGGTAGCAAACCGACTACAGGAATGATTGATCTGGTTCAAATATAGTCTGCACGGAAAAAGTGAATAGTAGTAGCGGTAGTGAGGTCCCTGAGGAAAACCACAGTTGGTGGTTGTAGAATTGAATAAGTTGCTCCAATTGCTTAAAGTGGATAGAATTATGGGATTCTAGGTTCGCCTAGCCATGGGAAAGAATAATAACTACCATCCTTATTCTCAGATCTCTCTTATTCTCTTGTCTAAAGCGGTATCAGTAATAAAAGATACACTAGGTAGTCCGAGTCGATGCTCGGCATCTCCACCAGCTGTTGCTGATCACCAGTGACCTCGGTTATCAGCATTCCATGACGTTACAGCAACATGATGCATATTTCCCCTCTCTGAGTGCATTAGGTGCACAGCCTTCGGTCCGATATATGATGCAATTAGCAGCACCAGCCAAGATGAATAAAGTGTTCTGATTGAACCAGCTGAACCAGAGACACGGTATATTTTTGCTATAACTATAACCCTGGCTGATCTGAGGTCATATATCCATAATCTTACTGTTCACAAACTTATAGTCGTTGATCTTAACAGAGCACATGTCGCTGCCGAACTCCGACGCATGAACGATGCTATCCTGATTCCCTCTTACTATGACTCCATACCTGATGTCATGTCTCGGCTTTATGCAATCAAGATCCCCATTGACACTCCACGTATCCACCCCAGAATCGATCCTACAATGTGGTACCGGAAAGTAGCATAATTGGCTCTTTCCACGTTTCAGGGCATCCACAATCATAGGTCTCGAAGACTGACATTTAAACACGGCCTGTCACCTCCCAGGAGACAATGATTGCACTCATGCAAACATCGGGGCGCTTTGGCTGAGCGTTTCACTGGAACTACCGATTCATATACTGGATATCATGTCCGCCGACCACACCCCGGCAGCGGAACAGCCGGGCCACACATATGACCACGATAAAGCCGAGGAATTAGCCAGGGCAGTCAGGAAGTTTGAAGAGTCCGACCAGCCAAATCAGTCTCACCGCGAACATGCCTCTCAGTCCAGCTCAGACGGAATTTTCAACGAACACTCAAAAGAAACCCACCACGGCAAGCGCGAACTCACCGAGGACGACTGCTACGACAAGCTCGGCTTCTGCTTCCCCCGGTACAAAAAATGGACCATCCTTACTGTCATCTTCGTCGTGCAAATGTCCATGAACTTCAACACGGGCGTCTATGCCAATGCAGTCCCAGGCCTTCAGGAAGAGTTTGGTATCAGCGCGCAGGCGGCCCGGGTCGGCCAGATGATCTTCCTTGTGACATACGCATTTGGCTGTGAGCTGTGGGCACCCTGGAGCGAGGAGTTTGGTCGCTGGCCCATCATGCAGCTGAGTTTGTTTCTTGTAAACGTATGGCAAATCCCTTGCGCCGTCGCACCGAACTTTGGGACGATCGTTGTGTGTCGGGCGCTCGGGGGCCTCAGCTCTGCTGGCGGATCAGTGACACTGGGCATGACGGCCGACATGTGGGAGGCCGAGGATCAAGGATACGCGGTTGCGTATGTTGTTCTCTCGTCCGTCGGTGGGTCGACCATCGGTCCCTTCTTTGGCGGGTTCATCGGGCAATATCTATCATGGCACTGGGTGTTCTGGGTGCAGCTGATCTTCGGCGGCATCACCCAGGCAATGCATTTCCTCCTTGTCCCTGAAACGCGCGCCACGATCCTTATTGACCGCGAGGCCCGCCGCCGTCGCACAACCGGGGACGATGTCTACGGACCGAACGAGCTCAAGACGCCTCGTCTGGACGCCAAAGATGTGCTGCGCGTCTGGCGCCGGCCGTTCGAGATGTTCCTGCGCGAGCCCATCGTGCTCTGCCTATCCCTGCTGTCCGGTTTTTCCGACGCCCTCATCTTCATCTTCACCGAGTCGTTCAGCCTCGTTTTCGAACAGTGGGGATTCAGCACCCTCGCCGTCGGCATGACCTTTGGCTCGATCCTGACCGGCTACGTAATTGCCTACCTGATCTTCCTGCCGGATATCTGGCGCCAGCGCAAGATCCGCAAAATGCACGGCCCCGCAGCTCGGCTGCCTGAGCGGCGCCTCCTGCTTCTCTTATTCATCGCCCCCCTGGAACCAATCGGGCTACTGGGCTTCGCTTGGACATCGATGGGACCGGCTTACACGCCGTGGATCGCACCGTGCATTTTCGCCTGGCTGATCGCCATGGCCAACTACGGCATCTACATGGCCACGATCGACTACATGGTCGCCGCGTACGGGCCGTACTCCGCCTCAGCGACGGGAGGAAACGGCTTCGCGCGGGACTTCCTGGCGGGCATTGCGACAATGTATGCTACTCCTATGTATGAGAATATCGGGGATAAGTTCCATCTGCAGTGGGCGAGTACTTTGCTGGGCTGTGCGGGTATTCTTGTGCTTATCCCGTTGTATATCTTTTACTGGAAGGGCCCGACTATTCGGGAGAGAAGCAAGTTTGCGCAGACGCTGGAGGCAGACAGGCAGCGGCATATGAGTCGGCGGGCAAGTTATTTGTCAGGGAAGCAGAAGCCATACGATGTTTGATTATTTCAGATTGTATATTATGACAATCCGTGGACATCCAAGCTCGTATCCTATGGCCTATATTGTGTTGAGATTATAACATAGAGTATGCCACCCGACCAGCTCGTTCTAAGGCCATCCATCCTAGTAAACATACTACACGACATTAGCTTCCATTGACCCGTGAATTAGCAGTGCCAGAACGTACCCTAAAATCCGTATTCTCTTTGTCCGTCAGATCCAGAAAGGCATTGGAATGCTCAATCTTCTCGTCTACCGACGTCTCGGATGGAGAAGTTTGCCCGGCTGCCGCAGCAGCGCTTCTCTTCTTCCGGTTACGGGCCATAAGGACAGTCCGCAGTGTCAAGAGGATGATATTGAAGAGTGCATACAGGCAGAAGTGTGCGGTTAGGCCTTTGTGGTATCTTGGGGCGTCGTCGGATCGGAAGATCTGTTACATTAGGCATGTCAGTCATTGCCATGTGGATGGGATGATAGGCTGACCTGAGGTGCGGCGGCATTACTAGCGGACCAGGCGATGAAGGTCACTGCCAGGACGGTAGACTTCTTGGTCTGTCCGGCCACGTTTCTCGAGATGAGGGAGAAGAGCAGGTTACCCTCGGCGAGGATAAACTGCGTGCAATAGAATGCGATGAGTAGACCTGCACGGGTCTTCGGTGTGGGAGGGATGGTGAAGATGATGGCCGTTCCGATAATGGCGGGTCTACAGTGTCAGCTCGGTTCGAACTGCCAGAGGAACAGCTTACATCGTCCACAAATGCATGACGAGAATAGTCTGCTTGGTCCAAGTGGCAAGGGACGCACCACCGACCATCACAGCGATGGTAACACCACCTTGTGCAATGTTGAGCAGCTGAGTCTGCAAGGTCGTAAAGCCGAAACTCTTGATGATGATGTTGGAGAAGACACCGAGTCCGCCGATGACCAAGCAGCTGGTCATCTGCAACAGCGCATAAAGCCAGACAGCAGGGTCTCTGAGCACCTCCATCACTTGGTACTTCTTGAACACCCTGTTCTGAATACCAGTCTCATTGGCGCGCACTCGCTCGACCATCAGCCGCTTGTCCTCCTCGCTCCAGCACTTGGCCTTCATCGGGCTATCGGGCAGATACCAGCCCATGAACAAAGCCCAGGCACAGGTGGCTACTCCGAGCACAAGGAACAGAAGCTGCCAGGATTTGATGGAGTGGCCTCTGTAGTGTTCGACACCGTACGCTAGCAGACCACCGATCTATTACTGTCAGACAATACTTCGACCAGGGTATATGAACGAACCATGAGTTGCACACCCATCACTACCACACGTCAGTATATGCCTGAATTATAGACCTGGAAGAACATACTGCAATACCACAAACTGGTCAAGATCGTCTGCTCCGATCTCGTGTACCACATCGATGTCATGAGGATGAAGCATGGCTGCACGCAGGACTCGAAGATACTACTCTTGTCAGCGGGCGCGCATTATGACCAGAACGATCTCCTACCCAAGAAGAAACCGAACGACCATCAAACCAGGAAAGTTGGTCGCCGCGGCGCTACACTGCATAGAATAAGCCTCAAATTCGCAGATCGTTGACGGAACCACTCACAGCAATCACAATACCCCAAAGGAACACACTAAGTCCACAGTCAATTCTCGTAATCATCCCCATACGGTCGACAAACGTACTTGCACGCAATGTATTTCCCCACAGGCAGCTTCTGCAAGAGAAAGTTGGTCGGGTACTCTCCTACCAACACACCGATATACAGGATCGTTCCCAGCCAACTATACTCATTGCCAACGAGACCTGCATCCTTCTGGATTCCCATGATTGAAGCGAAGCCAAGTGTGCCCTTGTCGAGCGCCTGACAGAAATACGTCTGCAGTTGTTAGACCCAAGCATCTCAAGCATAGAGGTAGACATACCGCAAGCATGCACACCAGCACGCGGCGGTTGATCATCCAAAACAACCGCCGGTTGGTCGCCTTGTCGACGTGAATGGCGGTCGAGTTCGCGTACGCTGCTGTTTCCTGGTCCAGCTCGCCATGGTGAAATGGCTTCACGGGAGCAACCGTCTCCTGCTGTTCGGCCTTGGAGACTTTACCTTCGATGTCAGGCATGGTCAATGTTTGGATAAGTGGCTATGTATATAGAGTGGATGCGAGCGTGAGCTAAATGTGACTTCGTGTCGATCCGCGACAGGCATCCTATATATCCAATGTACGATCACGGACAAAGAGACAGAGGGAAGGTGATCTGGGGTTGTGGAGGCCCCGGTTTGGAGTCCGATGGTTCCCACAAAACAACACAGTTCATCGGCTAGGATAGTAGCAGGGTTCGCAGAGAGACTAACGGGGAAGCTCCGTTATTCTCTCCGGAGACTTGCTGGAAGGTCACAAACTTTGTTAATGCGGGGCAGACACCATCAAGGGATCGCTCCTTAGCGCGGAGATATGAAGCTGCCGGAGAATGCCCGGTACTTGGCCCGCGAAGCCCTACAACCATACCAACCTGATGAACCTGATGGATACTGAGAATAGAAGTCGGCCTGCTCTCCGTGTCGTGGAGGATTTGGCTGGACGACGTTGCATTCTGGTTTACGTATGGTCTTACATGGTTTGTCATGATAGCTCTACCACAGTATACTCTGGAGAAAGATTGAAAACGCAGGAGATTTTCCTATCCCATCACTTTCATACTTGAAGCCTGCGCTTCGAGTAGCAATACGTCCTGTGATATTGAGGCGTCAACTAAGTCCGACAACATGAGTGTATGTTTCTCTCCGTTCCAGTTTTCAACGGCAAAACACGTTGCGTATACTGACTGCTCTATCAAGGAACCTGCACGGAAAAAACTGAAGAGCGAATCGAAAGGCGAGACTAATGGAACGATTGCAAAGGGCAGTGGTATCCCACAGTCTGTGGTTCACGCACTCTACTCTGAATCAGTGGCCGCAAAACTGTGGAATGTGGCCAGTAGAGCGTTGGGAAAGGTGTTTATGCACCTCAAATAGTGGAAGACTATATATACTGACGGCGTCTAGATTGAACCTCCCACCTTCTTTCCCGAGTACACAGGCAAAGATGGAGCCACATACGTTTACCGACACCTCAGCTTCTGGACGTCTGGCTTCTTTCCCGGATCCCTATACCTGCTGCTCGAGCGCCAGACCAAGTATAACAACAGCACAGAGCCATCAGCTCCTCATCCTCTCCTTCTTCAACACCTTTGCCAGTGGTGGACCATCAACCTGCATGAGAACGCCACCCTGAACACGACACATGATCTTGGCTTCATGATTGCGCCCTGGGCCGTCAAAGCGTGGGAGCTACACCGAGATGCAAGGGCGTTTAACAGCCTGGTGACAGCAGCAAATACTCTTGCTAGTCGATTCTGCCCCAAAATCCGGTCCATCCGCAGCTGGGACACCTGTGTGACGAAGCGGTATTCGTACACAGATCCGTCCAAGGACTTTCTTGTCATCATCGACAACATGCTCAATCTCGACATGCTGTTCTGGGTCGCCAAAGAAACTGGCAATCGACATCTGTATGACGTCGCAGTGGCACACGCTCGCACAACGCAAAAATACCATATTCGCCCAAATCACTCCACATACCACGTCGTGAACTTTGATCAAGAGACATGCCTGCCCAAGGAGAAGTTGACGAACCAGGGCTACAGCGACGAGAGTTGCTGGGCCAGAGGTCAGGCGTGGGGTATCCTCGGGTTCTCACAGACATTCCACTGGACTGGTGATCCGTCCTTCTTGCAGACGTCGCGACAGCTGGCCGATTTCTTCATTGAGAACCTGCCCGCCGATGGTGTGCCGTACTGGGACTTTGATGCACCCGTCACGAGCGACTCGCCGAGAGATACGTCCGCCGCGATGATCGCATCCTGTGGAATGCTCTTGATCTACAAAGCACTCAGGGCGCAGGGCAAGTGCGACGAATCACAGCATTATGTCTTTGCTGTCAGGCGAATTGTGGAAGGGACATTGATCAAGTTTCTGAACCCTCCGACATTCAGATTCACAGTCCAGCCCTCCGGTCGAGGTATTGAGACATACGAAGATGGCCTGCCCTGCGATCACGAGGAGAAGCCGGAACCTGCATTCTTGGCTGTGGACAAGTCCGTTGCGACGAATGGGATAAACGGCGGAGGGGTAAATGGTAGTGAGAGCAAGAAGCCGATAGCAGATACGATCCTCACCGGGGCCACGATCAACAACTATGAGTTTGCTCCCAGAAGATGGGCCAACCATGGTCTGGTCTATGCGGATTATTATTTCATGCTTCTGGGGAACATGTTGCTTGAATTGGGCTTGGTGCCGTCGTTGCCATAGATACATAATCAGGTCGATTGACCGACTTCTACTTTTTGTAGCTGACGTGTCAGCTCTCCAGAAGACAAACTGGACTCAAATTCCATTACCATTGCCGGAGTCAGAAGTAGGTTTCTTGCACCTGAACCCTAGTAGGCCGAGGTAAACTGCAGAGCTGAAATTCATCGGATGTTGCCCGGTACTTCGCCGTTGGAAGGGAGGTTTTCACCGTTCAGAGGATTTCCGTACCGACTTATTCGATGCCCTGGACTGGATGGTAAGTCCACGAAACGACTCGCATAATCAGGATGCGGGTTATTATTACAATCATTATAAGACTGGGCCACCGGATCCCACAGCGGCTGTGCATGCAATGTCTCTACAGGCGGACCGGAATACAGAGATGAGACATGATCCTTGCGCAGGAGAGCCGGGTCGAGCATATGTACGTCCGACATCGGTGCATACTGTGGCTGCAGCGAGAGAGGAAGCGGCGGAAAGGCGAGACTGAGAGCGTTGTAGAGCGAGCCGTTTGGGGAGGGCCCATTCTGCATAGGGTCACTGTTGCTCCAATCGCCTGCATAAGTCGGAAGGTTTGGGCTTGCTGAGTGAGAACCGTCAAACGAGCCACGCTGAAGATTTGTCCGAGATTGGGAATTGACAGGCCCCTCGTTGCCGTCCGAGTCTTGCTCCGCCACTGGGTCCGCTCGTTCTGTGGAGTCCGAATATACAGTTCGCCGGATATCCAGGCTGGCCCGACCGGACGCATGCTTACGTGCGTTGAGTAGTCTTTTTGCGAAGACGGATGCCAGATTTTCCAGGCCAGGTGTGTTCGGGCCCGCCCATCGTCGGGAAATCTCCCAGAGACCGGCGACAATGCTGTCCAGTTGATCGGGAATTGGGGTTTTGGTATAAGTTGAATGAGTCAAAAGCATGCGACCGGCGATAAAAAGGCAGAACGAGAATTGCGGATTGGTGAGTATAGGCGAGTGATGAAGGAATTGTTGGCCGATGGTAGCAATCTCCGCCGCAGCCTCGATGCAGGTCTCCGCAGAGGCCACGGATGGGAGTCTCACAGGACACTGTTTCCAGTGCGAGGGCGGATATGCGATGCTCTGATGAAGGAGAATGACCGCGGTGTTGTGGGTCATGTGTGCCAGAGTGAGGTTCGGATCCATCACTCCATCCTCATTTAAGACCGATGCGGTGCGCCATTTGGGTGGCAGGAAAAGCTTCCATTGCACGAGGCGCAGATCGAGCTCCTTGAACTTCATCAGCCACAGCTGTGCCTTTTGCGCGTTCTGAAGGTTCAAGGCGTGCTGCAGAAAGAAGTTAATGACGAGGGTAAGCGACTCGGTCGCCTCGATGCAATATGCGAATCCCCCGATCGCATCCTGCTCCGGGTCGCCTTTGGCAGGGTCACTGTCGACGAGATTCGGACTACTGCTGCTCAAAGTGCTTTTGTCGGAGATGCCAAAGAATGGTGCGCGCACCTCGTATTCCTTTTGCCAGAGAGCACCTTCGCAGGGCAGTCTGCGCTTGACATCGGCACTCGTGAGACTGAGGTTCCATCCCGTCGACACGCTGCAAAATCGGTCCATCAGAAAAACAGTCCAAAATACCCTCCGTCGCTCCTCAGCCTGCCACCAGAACTTGGATGGTTTGAGGAAGACCATGCGCTGGATGAGAAACTCGCCCTCCTCGGATCCCTGATCACCCTGCGACTCTTCTACACTAAGCTGAAGTTGTTCAACGGTGCGAGTCATACTACCGACAATCGACCATGCCGATGGCCCGCGGCCACTGCCAATCTATTTCCGTCAGTGAATCTTGTTGTGAAAGCGGGCGATATGACCTACAGTATCAAAAGCAATAATAACCAGGGCCTGCAGATTCTCGACCGAAAAGGACTCCATACTGTTAAGAATGACCTTTTGTCGACTGGCAACCGCCATTTCCCTGCGGACCTCGTTGGTGCCGGCGTCAGAGTGATGGCTGAAGCGGATGCAGGTCGCCACGATAGCATGCAAAATATGGATCGCTTTGTCCCAACCTTCAGTGGTCTGTATTTGCTCCCGGAATTTTCTCACATGGAGAATGGGTATCCAATGGTGGACATTTGCAAAGTAGAACTCGACCAGATCGTTCATCACTTCTCGAGATGGCAGGCCATGCGCGCTGAGATGAGCCGATGAAGAATGGCCCGGCGGAGTTAGTCGCCCGGTCGCGCTTGATTGTGACTCGATCTTTCTGCGTTTAGCAGGAGGGGCATCTCGCTCAATGCTGTCCTCATGGGCGTCGTCAACTACCGAACGAAGGCACCCTTCATTGTCCTCTGCCAGCTGCAGTAGAGTGTCCTTGACGCGATCGCGGACCTGATCTATGCTAATCCTCTCGAGGTCTCTGCCGTTCTGCGGAACATCGCCTGCTGAGTTGCTGACCGTATCCCAGATCTTTTGCCACAGAATTCCCTGACCGATGAACATGTTCTCCAGCGCGTCCACCCGACGTTGCAGCTGTTCGACTGCCCCGGCTCGCAGGCCCGGTTTCAGGCGGCCGTTGTCGTAGAGACAGATTACATTGAAGCGGACGCATTGTGAGCATGGCTGTTCCCGGTCGCATTTGGCTTTTTTGCGCCGACAGGATTGACATGCAGGGATCTTGTCCTTGTTACTGTCCAGCTGGTCCAGATCCGGCGGGGGTGCTGTTGACCTTGGGGACATTATGGCAGAGGGACGAAGTCTCAATGTAAACTCATGATGATTGTCATGAATTGCGAGAAACAGACTCTGTAAATTCTCCAGAGATCATCAAATATTTTTTCGGGGTTTCCTGGCACCCATCCGTCTGTGCAGGGACCAGGCACACCCCATGGGGTAATCGAACCTCAGTCAAGCTGTCACTAAACTAGTCGACGACGCCTCGTGTCCTTGCGCCTGATGATGGCATACCAAGGTTTTTCCCCCGCACTTTGATAAAGTAGTCACTCGACCAGTCTCCATAGGCCGGCAAGGCAGTGGGGAAGACCACCCGTTTGATCTTTGATGGGAGGTCTGAAATTGAGACGCGTGCGCCGTACTCCGACTGGTTGACGAAGTCCATTGCCTGGCAAATGGTCTGTGAGGGCTGTGGCGTGCCACTCACTACACTGGCGGATAAATTGCCGGAGAAATCTCCGCGACGAGCGACTCTCCACCGGAGTTATCTTGACCTTGGTTGAAGTCGTTCTAAAAGGTTACTTGTTCGAACAGCTTTGATGGAACGAGAGATTATCACCAGCACTGAGCAATGATAGGTAAGTTCCTGGTGGTTTGGTAATGGATGAAGATGTTCCTCGTGGTTCAATTAGAGCGTAGAGAGACAATTACAAGAGTAAACAAGCCGTCTCTATGATGATCACGTGGTGATTATTTGTTTTGATCACATGATCTGTCACCGCGTCCCGTCCATCCACAGGATTTCCCATCATCCGCTGAACTCCATCAGCTCGTACAAATTGAGCCTTATGCAGACCACCGATCATAATCAGGAATATCCTCGTTATAGTATGTCTCTGTGACTTGGGAAAATCCTACTTCGGGTGCCTGGGGCGGCCACGGCTGTCCAGTGCCGGTCGCAAACAAAGCAAAACTCGCTCCTTCGAACACAAACCAACCCGGCGGAGCGAATGCCAACCAAGACGATGACAGCGATACCAGCCAGGTGGTTGTCTCCTCTGACCCGAAGCTATATCCCAATGTGTAGGAGAGGGGTTCCGCGCGGATATGCAGCGTCAAGTCGGACGGAATCGCGGACGAGTTCAGCTTTACCTGATTATACTGTTATGCGTCAGCAGCATTTCCTGTCTTGTCATCGCGGAATCAAGGTCAATTACCTCCGTGGTCCCGTTCTTGATCAACTGAGTGAAAATACACATGCCGGTGCCATTCACACAGCCAGACACTCCGATATCCTGATGTTGGAGCTCACTCAAATAGGCACTGATCCCGACAGTCTCACCGTAGCCCAGCCCGGACGTTGTGGGAAGCAACTGCGCGCTAAAGGTCATGTTCAGCGACTTTTGCTTCCGCAGAATGGCTGCTGGGGTGTCCCGATCGCTTAGACCGAAAACGTTCGGTCGGAAGACAATTCCATGAGACTCCTTCCGACCGTTGCCCTTCTTCAGATCGTAGGTGGGCGCATACGGAGTCCGCAATGTGTACCATGCGGGATCAAGCGTCTTCTGGTCAAATGTGTCGATGAAACGTGACGGTGGTAATTTCTGATCGGGCGAAGGACCGAAGGATTCACTGAGCAGGACTGGATTACCGCCATTGATCATCGGCCATCCATCCTTCCAGGTGACTGGTGACATGAAGGTCTCCCGTCCCAGGGGCGACGAGCCGTTGATCTTACGTCGAGCGAGGTAGACCGCATAACTATCGCCGTTGGCCGCTTCGAAGATGGTCGCATGGCCAGTGGATTGCACGGTGAGGTTATCGTACCCGTAGGCTCCATTAAAGAGAATTGGATTATGCGGCGCAGGCTCCCAGGGCCCTTCTGGAGACAAGGAGCGTGCAATACTGGCACGGTGAAGGTCGTCCGTGCCGCCTGCCCGATTGTTAGTCGACTGGCACTTCATGGAGAAGGTGATACTTACCCTCGGCGATGAGGAGATAGTACCATTGATCCCGCTTGAACATCTTTGGGCCTTCGGGACGAGCACTGGCATTATGCGGGAGCGTGCCATTCCACATGGAGCGATACTCTCCGATACAGCGACCACTGTCGACATCTACTTCACACTGGTAAATTCCCCAGATGCGATCCTTGTTGTTGTTGGGAGCCATCAGGTTCAAGTACACTTTTTGCGAGACCGGATCCTGGAATAATGCGGGATCGATGCCCCAAGGGTCACCCCAGATGGGATCTGACCAGGTCTTGAGGTCGTGCGACGAGACCCACATCACTCGCGGCCAAACTCGGGCGACTGGGTCGTATGTCCATCGGGTCATTGCAGCGAGGTAGTATTTTCCATTGACATAGGAGAGCGTTGGGGCCCAGGCACCTACCCATACACCATATTAGACGATCAGATATAAGGGCAAGCGTGTACTAACCTGCGCCCGTTGGGGTTCCATATAACTGAAGCTGCTCCGGTCTGGTGAATGCATGAGAGAAGAGCTCCCAGTTGGCCAGGTCTTTGGACTTGTAGATTGGTGTGCTCGGCCAGTACTCGAATGAAGAGGTTGCGAGGAAGTACTCGTCCCCGACGCGGAGAATCGAAGGATCAGGGTTCCATCCAGAGATAATGGGATTCCGGATCGCTAGGGTGGTGAGCACCCAGCTCTGAATGGCCAGCAGGGAGAAAGTGAACCGTCTCATTGCTGTCTGCTATTTTCGACCTCCTTTAGCATGTCTAACAACCCCTGCATGTAGGACTTCGTATATATAGTATCTTTATCTACTGGGAAATATCCTCTAACTGCAACATCCTTATCGTCGGGCTCCACAATTGGTTCCTTTCCCCTCCCCATAATAGTAGATGGTTTCCGGGGTATCATCCGGGGGAGAGCCGGCCACTGATAGCACCGGGGGTGTCAATTCTTAGTTGGGGCATTCTGTGACTTTGGTGTATCCATTCAGACAAGTCAGTGTTAGTTTGTCATGTCTCTTCCCTCTGTTGATGATTAATGGAGCCGCATATCGTGCCTTCGTGGAGTATCTGTTCTCCTTGGTGGCGAAAGATATATATCTTATAACTGCCTATCGACTGATACAGCCTTGTCTCGTTTATGCAGGCAAAGAATGCTCAGGATGGTACATGTATTTCACACATTGAGGTAGTCATGCCCTATATAATACTAAATCTTTTCCAGTTCTTTCACACTCGTGAAAAATTACGCAAGCTAGTATGCCCAGATCAAATCGCCCCAGCTGGGATGATCGTTGGACGAGACAGCGCCCTCGAAGCCTTCGAATTCCTTCGCCTTGGTAGTCCACGGGGCTTTCTCCTTTCTCTTGACCACATACTGGTAGTACAAAATGTCCCACATAGGATTCTGGTTCGTCACGCCACGACTCTGCTCAGAAATGGTTGCCCAGGGACCATTGACGAGGACCGCCTCGCACCTGGACCACTTGGGATCGTACTCGACAGTCTCGTTCAGATTGTACTTGGCTGCGTACTCGGCCGCTTTGAGCAAGAGATTGTGGCCCAGGCTGTACAGATCGACACCCTGGCTTTGTCCGACGCGGGCGCCGTATGCAGCCCAGCCAATACCGGACATGGTGTGACCTTGCAGTATGTCAGTGGATAGTCAGTTAATTAGAAGAAGGTCCATACTTTGGTCACGTCCGGCTTCCACCGATTGCCCCGTCTCCGGATGATACTGCGCAAAGAGACCCGCGCAGTTGTCCTGGATGAAAGCATTCATTGCATAGTTGTACAGCTCGACATCGTTCAGATAAACTGCAAAACTGAGGATCGCCTTGATACTGGCCATCCCGTAGTTGGCCTGCCCTATAACAACTGATTGGCGCGAGAACAGCCAGTACAGCTGGTTGCTGAACCCCGAACCACCCTGCCACTTGGCTCCGGCTTCTGTCCAATTGCCCTCCCAGCGCATGATCTCCGCCGCGTTGACGAACAAATCCCCGTCGAGACCAATCATCAGCGAGCGGTCCGTCCCAATGATGTCGGTCAGGTTGCTCCCCCAAGCATCTAGAATGGTAGTGCTCCGATCCCAGTGCGACTGGTTGCGGGTGATGTACCACATCAGTGCATTCTGCCATGCCGCGCGAACGTCATGCGCGAACGAGGTATAGTTGCTGATCTTGCCGCGGGAGAGAACCGCGTGCGGTCCCTGCATCTGGTAGCTGGCTTGCGAGTATTGATCGGCGCTGAACTTCTCGTAGGCAGAGGCCCAGGGGTCCTTCTTGGACATGACATTCGTCCGGATGCGCTCCAGGTCCTCGTGCGTGTGCCAGATACCGGGATGAATAAAATCTCCGGGGCGTCTCTTGAGATATCTGGTGGAATCGATGCCGGAGAAGTCGCCGACGTGAGGAATGGGGCCATAGACGCTGGGAACGTCCATCACAATGGAGTGACAGACGCCTGCCAGGGCGAGGATGTTTAGGAATACCTTCACCATGTCGCAGGATATGGTTCATGAGCCGATAGCTTCGAGGCCTGTCAACATTTTGACTTCGACAAGGGTTGTTGGAGTACTTATACTTATTATTTAATCTTTGCATGAACTTATAGAGCAATGCAATATTCTTTCTGGTATCGGAAGAATCGCGGGACAGAATGATTTCACTTTCTTGCCCCGCATTCTCCGATAACTGTTGCTCAGTCTAGAGTTTAATCTAGTTGAGCTTGTTCTCTGTTTGTTCTTCATGACTGCCGGGGCAAGGCCGGCGTCTACGCCGAGCGCTTTAGTGACTCTATTCCCCAGATGCCCGCATTGATGCCCCGCATTATTGAGTACTGGCCCTTGGTATTACAATACTGGTGAAGATCGCGTTATTCAGGAATCTGCGTGTGGATCCTGTCTGACAACTATATAGTCATTCACCTTCTTTGCGGTGACTGGGTATCTCTTGCAACCTGGCCAACATGAAGCTAATCCCTACCCTCTTGTCCTGCTTAACGGTATGCAGCAGTGTCCTCGCTGCCACTGAAGACCCCCTCAATTACAGGAATATCAAGCCCTCCTACGTTGCTCCAAAACTCTCCAACACAACGACGCTTCTGGAATTTATCAGATCCCGCTCAGATTTGAGTAGACTCTCTGAAGCGCTAGACAAAGTCGGCGGCTTCTCGGAAGCATTCAGCACGGATCCCACCTGGAAATTTACTTTCTTCGCCCCGAACAACGATGCCTTTGAGAAGAATGTGGGCAGATATTTCAACACGTTCGAGTCTACTCCGTATGGCTACCCGACAGAGTCGTTTCGCCGGTTACTGACTGTTCATAGGAAAGGGAAATGGTGGCTGGGGAATACCATCCTACATCACTACGTTCCCAACACAAACTTAAAGTCCTCCAATTTCAATGGAACTTATCAGCAATTCCAGGTGATATCAGCAGTCAGGACTCAAGGACAGATGAATTGGCTGACGGAATGTTAGACTGCGACTTTTCTATATGTCGGAGCTGAGGTTCAGAAGGGGAATCTTCTCCTGAACAAAGTCGCTACTGTAGTAGAAAAGGATATTGCAGTTACACAGGTATGCTAGACGTGTGCTCAGAAGAATGAGTGCTAATGCTCTCCAGGGCGTCGTTCACATTATCGATCGTATCCTTGACCCCTCTGCTCAGATCTTTGAGGGTGATCTGTCTCGAATCTCGCAGGCCTTTATTCCTGGTAGTTGCTCGAACCCGAATCTTCCATACTGCTGACAGAACATGGACTGGTGTACGGGAATTGCTGCTATTGCGTAGTTTAATCCGAGCTGCCAGAATGAGCCCATCTCGGAGTGACTACCATCGGTCAAGCTATCTCTTATATAATCGTGTATTCCTCATGTGAATAGGATAAAAACACGCAAATTGAATTAGTCGCGAATACTAAAATCGTAGTCTAAACACCAGCGTCTGATAAGGCTGCAGCACGCCCTTGTAACCATCGACCTTTCCCAAAGTCTTGTGAGACCACAGTTCGGTGGTCTTGACCGGCCCATTAATTCCCAGTCCCAGGTCAACGAATGAGACCGACAGATCCTGAGGATAGCTCTTCTCATTCAACAGAAGAACGACATATCCACCTTGCACCTGGCCCGCCCATACCTGCCATGATCCCTCATTACTGGCAGACTCGATGTAACGCACCGCCTGGCCCAGCGAGTCCTGGTTAAGTGCGATAATATCCTTGTTTCTCAGAACAGCCACGCTCTCGTTCGAAAGCTTGGACAAATCCGCCCCGATAATCAGCGGAGACTTGAGCGCCGCCCAAAACGCAAAATGGGTCTGCTGCTGGTACAGCGTCATATCGCCGTTGCCGATCTCCAGCATGTCCATGTCCAGCCAGTGTCCCGGCGTCTGGTACTGACTGATCTCGCGCATCTTGCGGATGATGCTGAGCACCGAGCAGCCCGCATACCCGGTGTTGAGGCAGTATGCTGTCTTACAAGCGCAGCCCGTCTCGTTTGTGAATTTGGCGGTGATGTCGCCCGACATGCGATAGGAGTGGCCGATCTCTGTGATCAATTAGCCTCTTTTCAGAAGTTGCAGGATGGTTTGAACGTACTCCCTCCCCAATGCCACGGAAACTGATATCCCCACTCACAAACTGAGTAGAAGATCTCCCGACCAGACAGCTCCAGCGCCTTTTGCATGACTCCAAATCGGACTTGCGGCGGCTCCGTCATGGCCTGAAAACCGCCGCAGTTGTCATACTTCCAGTAATCCACGCCCCAGCTCGCGAGCGTCTGTGCATCCCGCTCCTCATAGCCCCAGCTTCCTGGCCGAAAGCCACAGGTTAGGATCCCGCTATCGCCGTACAAACCGATCTTCAGACCCTTGGCGTGGATATCGTCTATGAGCGGCTTGAGGCCATTAGGGAATGAGGTCAAGTTGGGCTGGAGGTATCCGTCCGCGGTGCGCGAGTAATCCGACCATCCCTCGTCGAGGAGGATATACTCGTAACCCGCGTCTTTGAGGCCGAGGTCCTCAAACAGCTGGACGGTGGTCTCGATCACGGAAGCGTTGATATTGGACTTGAACGTGTTCCATGAATTCCAGCCCATTTGCGGGGTTTGGCCTAGAGCCGGCTTGCCAGCGACTGAGTTGAGCAATAGAAGGCTGGCCATGAGGCCGAATGCATTGTGGCGGTACATTGCGCTGGTCGCTGGAATGAGAATGGCTTCTAGGGGTGTACAATGCAGTGATTTGTCTTTATAGCTACTATTCTTCAACCCCGCGACCCCGGATCCCCTCCGGAAAACATACAAGGCCCAGATGCTGCAGAAGTGTGGGGTTACCGTTCATGCAGGATATGGTCATGGCCGTGGAATGATTGCCGGAGTTTGCCCGGCGGGTATCCTGACGATGGCTGTGGCTTGTTGTCGACTCAATTTGAGGCTTAGTCGTGGCTAGCTGAAGATCTTGATTACTGAAGCTGACTGAAGGCTAGCTGTGAGTAGAAAATGTGGAGTTGGTATGCCTGGGGTGTTTGTCCCCTGTACTCATGCTGAAGATACATCTCCGACATATTTCTTCCCACTATATATATCGGCAGAAAAGATGTAAGCAACATGCAGTGATCAACATCCGCCTGGTTAACCGACTCATGTTTTGAGTTATTTAAATTTTATTTTGAAAGAACGTAATATCCATGCACATATTCCTCATTAATTTATTATTAATCCCAAGCCAGCCATACGTCTATATCTCCTGGAATATATATACAAGAAATCTGTAACCACATGACAACCGTTTAGAGCATGGCAAGCAGAAGAAGTGGAGGACCAATCGATCAAGGATGATCCCGATTTAACTGATCATTCGAAATCACCGAAATTTCCACCTGTTTCGTAATGCCCTGGTCGAGATGCGGCGGCGAATCCCGCCGACCACTGACGGTCGTATTTGTATTGCTGACGGGATCCAGGATCCGCTCAATGCTGCCGGTATCCAGGGGACCATTCTTGGTGAAGCGACGCGTGCGCCGGGACTGCGCCGTCTCGTCATGACCCGTGCGCCGCTGGCCGGTCGCGGGCCCGGTGAGCTCGTAGGATCGCGAGTAGCCGCGGCTGGAGAACTTGCGGACGGAGGAGATGATCAAGGGCCGGATACAAGGAACAGAAGAGGTGATGATGATGATTGAGTTCTCGACGTAGCCCCAGCGGATGAGCTCGACGCCTCCGCTGGCGCCGAGATTGGTGACACTGGGGACCTCGTCTAGTTTGGTGGTTTTGATGATGGAGGCGACCATGGCACTGCACGGGTCAGTATCGTGATGGTAGTGAATGGGGTTATAGGGACATACACAAGGCCCAGACTGAGGAGAATGATCAAACTGATCTTGATGCGCATCTTCAAGTTGAGATTCCAGAAGATGAGTGTGGGAAACACGGCCAGAAACAGGTCACAGGCGGAGTTTGCGGCTGTTACAAGTCAGCATAGGTTCATAGAGTCAGAAACGGAGACATACTGTTAGAGTAGTAGGCAAACTGGATGACGGCGTGGACATCACCACAGGTCGTCTTGGTCGTAGGGTCCCACAGAATGCGCATATTGCGACAGATGCTCAGCGGCAGCACGGCCGAGACAACATTGCCGGCGAACTGGAGCAGCATCACCGTCCATAACGCGATCTGATACTTTTTGTTGTTTCCGAGAATGGCCAGGAGGTAGAGGATGAAGGAGCAGCGGGCGATGGTGGTGCTGATGGTCACAATTGGTACTTGGATGGCGATGTACTTCAGGACGAGTTCGACTTCGTGCGGTTGTTCCGCTTCGAGGAGGAGGAGATTTTTGCCAAAGCCATGTTGCACACACTGCGTCAGGAAAACAGTGGAAATGACGACCAGGATCTAATGCGACCAATGTCAGTAATGCGATAGAGCCCGCGATGGGCTTGAACGTACCAGGGACACGATCATCAACACATCGTCGACGCGAAACTGGCGAATTTTGATCTTTGCAAAGACTCGCAGGAAAACGATAATCACAGCGATGATCACTGCGGCCCAGATGCCCCTTACGAGGGCCGGGCCGAGATCAGCTGTGGTCTGTGAGCCCTGGGCCATCGCGGATGTCGACCGACCCTTTGCACTCTGTGGGGGGGATATCTCGACTGTCGGGTGAGGACGAGATCAAGAAGAGGACAATGGCAACAGAGTCGATCAGGTCATGATCTGTGAGGCATTATGGTAGAGCGCAACGACTGAAGAAATTGCAACACTGGGAAGCATCGCTTAATAATAATGGCAGCGAATATTCTTCAGCTCTCAGGCACAGGAAATAATCACGACTGCTGCCAAGTGTCTTCCCAGGCACCGGAAGCTCAATGGCTCCGACGATTTAGACTTTGCAGCTTGACCACGGGGACAAAGCGATTCATGGACGAAGCAAAAAATCCATTCGTCTGGTCAATGGGAATCTAGCCAGACAAAAGGGGATCCGCAGAAGGTTTCCAAGGTTATGGCTGGCAATAGATCGAATCCCGAGCCGTGGATAGGGTTCTGAACAAGCTATATTTTGCAGTCGGGCGGACTTGAAGAGCCGTTGTGAGGGGCCCAAGTGCACAATTGAGTTCTTCTGGTGTTTCCATCGGTCATAGATTGGTCAAGTCTCAGATTTGGTCAGTTTGAAGGCAAGAGAAGAGGACATGGCCGTGGAGTGGAGCACGACCAGACCTCAATAATCATGAAGCTATCCATTCATAGTTTTGCCTGACTCTCGACCTGAACTTTGTCTTTGCCGAGCTGCAACCACCGCCGTGAGAGAGCAGATGCCGAGATATGCAAGCGAGGAAATGAGGGTATAGTGTATACTAGACTCGGAGCAAGAGACACCGGCCAAACTCTAACGGGCATCAGAGACCCCCATTCGCGAGAACACAATGAAGTGAGACATTGTCGGCATATCGCCTCTTCCATTGGTGGTTCTACTCTTCTGGAATTTGGGACTGGTGGGCCAACTTGTCCATTCTCCACTGTCCTGGCGCGAGTCATTCCAGATTCCCATTTTTGCTCCGAATCCTACCCAGTAACCACTGCGATTTTGTCCGCTCGCTTCCGCTGGGAGGAGTGCAGATCTCATTTATGAGATACAGTCAGTTCCAAAACCTCATATATGATATCCCACGGGGTATCTTTCCTAGATGATCTTCGCTAGGATTGATATAATGAGAAACTTATTCCCGTACCCCTTCATTCCATAGACGGTCTCGCTGGCAGCTTGGCGGTGGCTGATTCAGTAGGCGTGAGACATGCGAGTTTACTTTCGTATACAAAAGTTTACCGAAGAAACTCCTTCTTGATGACATTACTAGTACCGTTGGAGAAGTTGACAGAGACGCTTCTGCGCCATTATTGCACCGGCGATAGCTGTACGTGACTGGAGATACTCATTTTTTCGATGTCCTTTGGAGCTCCGGAAGACAGTAAGACAGTGGGGCCGAACCGAAGAATAGCAGATTCTATTATTAAGGACCGATTATGTGTGTCCGGCCTTCTGCATGCCATTTGTAACAGTATGCAGAGATGATCAAAGTGTTGTGGTTGGCTGCAGTGTCATTGTTGCTGCCGAATAGGCTTGCCCAGAGAGACTTCACATAAAACCCTGTTAATCAAAAAATTAAATTAAGGACGACGCATAATCAAAACTGCAATCTACCTGACATTGCTTCCTGCACCATGTTTCTCTGATGATATAAATTGAACACCTCAACCTCTTTCAACCAGCAGAACTTTCCAATGTTGTACTTTGTAGCATGGCAGGTTCCAGGTCGGAATAGCTGGCACCGAGAAGAAATACGAAGACCATATCCCACTCTGACTGATAATGCTTTTTTTTCCTTAGCTCCTGCTTCTAGCCCTCATCAGAGCCTTCCGATTTCTCCGACCACGCCGCTAGTGCCGGTGCATAGCCAAGTTGCCAGATCCTTGCACCGCTAAGAGCTGACAGGGAAGACGTATGCAGAATGCCGGTCAGGGGCATATCTAGCGAAAGCCCGCTTCTAGACGCATAAAATCTGTCTAGTGCAGAAGAATACACACGTGGGACTCCATAGCTAGTCACTGCCATGTGGCCAAAGAAAGCCACTTCGGCGGATCACCGAGCATATCAACTGTCGAGGAGACTCGAGATCCATAATACACGGCTGTTCTTCATGATTGTTTTCCGGGTTCCGTAGACACGTTTTCAAGCCATGATCCAACTCGAGATGGGCATATCTAAAAGTGTATCGGAGCCCGACGACTATCGATCTTGCCCCCCACCGCTGCCCATGGTGGACTCTCGGCTGTATTACCCAATCCGGCCATCCAGGGCTTCTCTGGGAAACATCGCCGCGCATGCACCACCGCAAGCATGGATGTTTGCCAGGTTTCCCCGACCTCTCATCGCGGCGCAGGTACCGGATGGCAACGATTCAGAAATAATGATGGAGACTCCGACGGATACGTCCGATCAAATAGTTCAACGCCATCGTCCCATTAAACATCGTCCTGGCTTTGCGGAAGGATGCCGAGGTAGCCTGGCAATAATCTCTCTATCATCTCTTTCTCCTCCATTCTCTCCACCATATGGTATAAATATCTGGGAAGCTCAGGATCGGCATGATCAACCGACGATCGTGAGATTCTTCCCATCCGCCTAACCTATATACTCCTCTTGATCCCCCTCCTCTCCTCCTCCCTTCCCCACACTCCCGTCGCGACACCATGAAGACCTCATGGGCGTTGACCGCTTTGGTCGCGCTCGTCTCCGCGAAGGGCTCTAAGTGCTCCGAGTGCCGTTGCTTGCCTAGTGACAGCTGCTGGCCCTCTCCTGCTTCTTGGGCCGCGCTCAACTCTACTGTTGGTGGTCGTCTGGTCGCTACCGTACCCATTGGATCGCCCTGCCATGATCCCACCTACGATGCGACCGCCTGTGCGGCTTTGCGCGATGCCTGGAATCTCCCCCAGACTCAGTACGTGGAACCGCGCTCTCTCTACTTGTCATGCTTTATCGCAAGAAGGAAGCTGACCACAATGTGTGCAGCATTGAATCCTCCTCGTCCATCATGCAGACCTACTTTGCCAACCAGAGCTGTGACCCCTTCACCGCAGAGTCCAAGCCGTGTACCCTGGGCAACTACGTCAATTACGCCGTCGATGTCTCCTCTAGCAACGATGTGATTGCTGCCGTCAACTTCGCCCGGAAGAACAACATCCGCTTTGTCATTCGCAACACTGGTCATGAGTGAGTGATTACGGAACAGGTTAGCCGAGGGAATGCTAACGGGAGGTGCAGTTACTTTGCTCGCTCCACCGGTGCTGGTGCTCTTTCTGTTTGGATGCACCACTTCAACGACATTCAATACCGGGATTGGTCCGACGCTCACTACAAGGGTCCCGCATTCAAGGTCGGCGCTGGTGTGATGGGCTTCCAGGTGATGGAGGCAGCTCACGCCAAGGGTCTGGTGGTGGTCGGAGGTGAATGTCCTACCGTCGGCCTCGCTGGTGGCTATATTCAGGGAGGTGGACACTCCGCCCTCAGCACCTCCTACGGACTGGGTGCCGATAACGCCTTGGAGTTCCAAGTCGTTACGGCGGCTGGAAAGCTGGTCACTGCCAACCGGACCACGAACCCCGACCTCTTCTGGGCTCTCAGCGGTGGTGGTGCCGGTAACTATGGTGTGGTTATCTCGGCTACCATCAAGGCGCACCCCGACGCCACGGTTGCTGGCGCTAGTGTGCAGTTCCTCTCCAGCAAGACCACCGCAGACAACTTCTACGAGGCTATCTCCGAGTTCCACGGTCTGTTGCCCGAGATGATTGATGCCGGCGCCACCGTCATCTACCAGGTCGCCTCCTCCTTCTTCGCCATCAACCCTGTCACTGCGTACAACAAGACAACCGACGATGTCAAGGCTCTCTTGGCGCCCTTCCTCAAGGTCCTTGATTCCCTGAGCATCCCTTACGCCGTTGCCTATACCGAGTACGCCTCGTACTATGAGCACTACAACAAGTACATGGGCCCCCTGCCCTACGGTAACCTCGGCGTGGGTGAGTACCAGTACGGTGGTCGGCTGATCCCCCGGGATGTGCTCGACAACAACGCTGCTGGCTTCGCCTCGGTCATCCGTAACATCACCGAGCACGGTGTCATCGCCGTCGGTGTCGGTATGAACGTCTCTCAGCCCGGTGATGTCTCCAATGCCATCTTCCCCGCCATGCGCAATGCCGCCGTCACCATGCAGATCGGTACCCACTGGAACGAGACCGCTCCTTGGTCCGACATGGTGGCCGATCAGTACAAGATGACCAACGAGTATGTGCCCCAGCTGGAGGCGGTCACCCCTGGCAGCGGCTGCTACCAGAACGAGGCCAATTTCCGCCAGCCCAACTGGAAGGACACCTTCTTCGGCGTCAATTACTCTCCCCTGCTCAAGATCAAGCAGAAGTGGGATCCCAACTACTTCTTCTACGCTCTCAAGGCCGTTGGCAGCGACTACTGGACTGTGGACGACTCGGGTCGTATGTGCCATGCTTGAACTGATCATCTAATATAGACTTTTCGGAATGATGATAATACTGCAGATATAATTGTGTATAGACTTTATTTAATACCAATACGCACAATTGTACATAGACACAAGATACCAGAAGTGCAATAATTTGGTTCCGTTATTGTCTGCTTATCAACCAGTAGTCCACGGTTTCGAAGCCATTCGCCTCAACTTGATCATGGCTCGACCAGACTCTGCCGTCCTGCTTGGCTCAGGCATAGTAGTGCCGTTCCTCAAGCGATGGGCATAGTCAAGGCCTGACAATCCATACAGATTGGTGTTCAATATAGACACATTGGCACCATAATCGCGTTTAGCTCCGTCACTATCACCACATACAAAATAAACAAGTCTCAATCATGAAATACAAGTTTACAATCTTATCTAGAGAGATCGTTAAGTCTTGGTTTATGTGGCAGATATATGCAACCACGGCACATCCATTGGTGGTTCATCTTCCATGGGTGATGTCACCACTCTCATGTCATACATAATCACGACGCACTTCCAGGTTCTAAACCATCGCAATCATTCCATACAAGGGTCCTGATAAGAAAATAAGCTATAAGATGAAGTAATGCATACTGCTCTGACCAGGTTGGCTTCGTAATACTCCCAATGAGCGCCGTGTTCCGTAGATGGAATTCTTCGCGCCATCGTATCGGAAGCGAAGCCAGACAAAGGGAGACCATAGATACTCTAGTGTCATCCCAATCCAACTGACATATCCTTAACGCCCTGCTTTATAGCATCGAGGACTGGCCAGAACGTGTACCCCGCCTCCGCAGACCAACGAGATGTCGAACGATACGTCTCCACCGACATATGGACAGCCGTCATCCGCCCTTGTATATGCGGATTGTACGTAGCCGGTACAAAACTCGTAGAGACCCTCGACAGTCGCAAATACTCTAAACATACTCAAGAATAATCCTCAACTAGTGTCTGTCCATCTCCAGCCATGTCTTCTGTCGCAGTCAACAGGCAAGAATCCGAGTCTAGTCTCAGCAGCGCCAACTGATCTGATCATATATAGCCTGAATGAATATCACGCCATCCTCCACCGGAACAAATATGCCATCCTCTACTTCTGCGATTCCCACGAGCAATGCGCCTCCCTCGATCCCACCTACAACGACATGGCGTCCACTGTCGCCGACGCGGACGACATGATCGACTTCTACAAGATCAACATCTCACAACACCATGATATCTCCGACGCAGCGATGGTGGAGAAACCCACCCTCCTACTCGTAAAAGATGGCCGGGAACTCGAGCGCTTCTGTAAGCCTGTCCCGCAGCAGTTGGAGTACATGGTCTCGCAGGCGCTGTGTGGGATGACCAAGATATCGATGATCCCGTATACGGAGAGAGAGGGCCATGGGAATCTGATGTATTGTATCCCGGCGCAGAAATAGTCGTTAATGAGGTTATGTTGTACGTTACGTTCAAGTATTGGTGGCTGACTGGCTGTAATCAGGGTTACCCTGTTTTACTAAAAGTGTATATGATTCATTAAAGTTCTCGTAAATAGTGGCATTGTTGGATATATGAGGGAATAATATGTTATCCCGGTTCTCTTCATATGATCTTATATTGAATGTTGTTGCAGAGTCATATTAATATGCCATGCATGCGGCAGTAAACACAGGTACTATCCACACCCAGGTAGTGGCAGTCCTAGTTGGGGTTGAATCATCGGAACTCAACACAATAAACTTGTATTAACAATGATGGGAAGAGACTTTTCATTGTCCTGTACCATCCAATTGATGGAGGTATGCCTGCAATGCACTCCTTGCTAACTTGCACCTCGCAAGATCATACCCATTGACCCAGGCTATCCTAAAGCCACCCAAAGGCCTTGGAATACTTTCCAATGGCTTCTCCGGACTATAATCCACCGTGATGCTTTCGACATTGAACATGCTTTCCAGTCGCCGCAAAGTGTTATCCGTGAGAGTCGTACCGGTCATAGCATATTTCTCATCGTCAAACAGCGGAACGCAATACCCAACGGGTGTTGCTGACAAGGAGGCCAACGGACCTGTCCATCCCTTCCCGCAATAAAGATCCACAAGGGAAGTAGTGAACCAAGATCCATACAGGTTCGGCCACTGAGGTGAGAACCGCAGATGCGCCTCGATAATCTTGCCTCCGATCGTTTCGACATTCATCATGCCGGTATATCCCGCGAGATGCGTTTCCACGAAATCAGCGATATATTTCTCTAGCGAAAGCTCGACGGACGTGTTGATCTCCCAATACTCCCATGTCTGGCCCGGACCAGCCACTCCCCTCGTATGGCCGAGCCAGACCACCCTCCCGGCATCTACCGCGATATCGGTGCTGATATGCTCCCCGGTCAGCAAGGCAGACCACATATGGCCCGGGACGAAGCTGCGCCAGTATTCATCCACGGTATGTATGATCCGGGCCCCCATGCTGGCCCCGCCAAGGTTGTAGATCGGCTTGCTGAAGATGGGGAAAAGCGCAGCATCTGGTTTGGTCCTGTGCGGACCGCACTCGATTCCCTGGAGTTCGGCTACCGTGAGTTTATTGTAGACCCAGCGGAACTTGGGATATAGCTCGTAAGCGTCACTATCGCAGGCTGGGATCCTGCAATGGGGTGGACAATGGGCGGATCCAAAGAGTCGTTTGCTAGTAGGGGTGTGGAGGATTGGCATGGTGTGATATATATCAATCGTACACTCGGATTATACCAACGACTTTGTCAAAGAGAACAGACGTTCATGCCACAGAGTGCTTCTCAAGAGAGAAGACATACTTGATGGCTGCTGGGCTTCGATGCTAGAAATTAATACGAATCGATGGCACTTGTGGTGATACAACCTCACGAAAACGGTATAGAGGTCGATGTTGCATCTACTGTGAAATCTGAGTTATGACATTTAAAGCTAAAAGATTACAAATACTGTGTACAATCAGCAACATGATGCGACGTTTGGGGTCGTATCCAAGTAGATTTCGATAGCTTCTAGCTACCATTAGGCTAAGAAAATATGTTATACACTGTGTAATTTTAGTAATTTTGTCGCATTCAATTCATAGTGCAGATTGACCTTCCGCAATCACTCTAGTATCTCTTAATACTCTATCTATTATTAGTAATCAACTCAGTGGTCCTACCGTCGTCCTCCAACCAAGTCTGCCATGTGTTTAATTGTAAATGACCATTTTCGACACCAACAATGTCTTCATAAGCAGTTAGATGGTCCGGGGTACATACTTGAATGCTCATGAAGCACTCAGCTCGCATATCCGCCTTCCCCACTCTCTAGACTCTGAGAAAAAGCGGCGCTGATCTAGTCCTAACTGGGAAAGGAATGTCCCAATATCTCCGCAGAGGTACAGTTTGGTAGACAATGTGTAGGCCTTGAGAATAAGTTCAGGAGAAATAACTAGGAAATAGGTCTAAACCCTCTGATGTATGTTATACTGTATTTTGTAATGTCTACTGGAATTGCTTGAAACAAGAGGAATGCCAAAGTTGGATCCTATTCACTGCCTGATGGTATTACCTAATTAGGACTAGCCTAGCTGCTCTTAAGTGTGTTATCACCACCAAAACATCATCTTCCACTACATCAATATCCGCAGAGGAGATATGTCAAGCCTATTACAGTCCCGCTGGGCTCCTAAACCCAACGAGGACAAAACACAAGGCCACGTTGGCCAACCATTGCCTGCGTCCCTCTCCCCAGGACGCCGAATGCTGCTCTCTCCCGCCGGAGAACTGTCGCGCTTCATGAAGATCGTCGTTCGCTTAAAATGGAAACTTCCTTTCTTGGCCGAGGGCTACCGACTGGCGACACTCTGCACAGATTCGCCTGAGGCTGCCGCTCACGCTGAAGTCATGTTCAAGATTGATTTTCACGAATATTATGCGCTCCTGGAACGGGCGCTGGTGCACTTACTTGGCGTCTTTGGCATCGCCGTATCGGCTGCAGGGAAGGGCTCTGGCTCAAACTCCGTCTGGAGCACGCATCGGTATCATGCCAATGTGCTGGAAGCTCTTGAAGATGAGGACTGTCCTCTGCGTTCGGTGTTTCGCAAGGGAAATGTCTTCGAGCAACTGAAGAAAGCAAAGGAACTGCGGAACCGCTGGAAGACAGCAGATTTGACCGAGCAAGAAAAAGAGCGAGAGTCTATGTGGTCGCCCAGACGAGAAGTGACGATGCCGCTGCAGAACTACGATTTCGACAGGATGTTAGCGGATATCTTTGACGGCCTGGAGGATGGATGTCGTCTGGCGCAGGAACACGTGGCCAACATCGACAAGAGCAACCATACTCAGGCACAACCCGACACCTCGAATGCTGATTGGGATTTTATTGTTGATGCGATGGACTGGGAAGCTGTATGATCATTCACCTGAAGGGTCTCTCTCATTGTAAATATCATGTACATACATCACCATTGTTTCGTTGTAGTAGATTCTAGCATATGCATTCCTTCTCAAATCAGAATAAAAGTAAAGACGCACCATTATGTACACTCCGTGTGCTATGCAGAAACCTCCACGAGGATTGATTGGCTGTATCTATATATCGACAAATGAATACTGATAAACTGTTAGGGCAGCTTGTCACACTGCCACCCTGGCATCTGGATTATACTGCAATGACTGAGCAACAGGTCTGCGAGTGCTTGCTTCAATGTGCGGGGACTGCATTGGGAGCACAAGGCTTTGACAGCTGTTGCATACCATTGCAAGCAGTTGGATAAGTCGATACCATGTCGCGAAATTCATTCTGCATATCCATCGACAAGGACCGACGGTGGTAGCGTCTCAACTTCCGCGAGTTCGACCGTAAAACTGCCCATCTGCTTCCCCAAAGCAGATAGCACCCTGACGTGAGGTATGTGCCACTGTGGATGATGTCTCACATACTCCTCAAAAGCATCTTTAATCACCTCGACAATATCACGCCGGTGGTACGAAGCCACCGGTGTCTGCGACACAATTAAGTCCACCTCTTTTAATCTCTGCATGCAGCCTAAACTCTCCAATCCATACGTCTCAAACATTAAGTAATCATGAACATCGATGATCATGCGCTGAAGAGCGTCGCGCTCGTCCTCACCAAGATAAGCTAGCACCGCTTCCGCTAGATGCACCGTGTCTCGCTCGGGCGCAAGATAGATGCAAGCATGCGGCGACTCTTCCGTACGGAAGTAGGGAACAAACTCCCGGAGGGCTTCCTCGCGGGCTTCCCGGTTGACCTGGAGCTGTACGGGATTGGGGTGGTTGGCGCGGAAGCCGCGGGCGTAGCGTCGGGAATTCGGTTTAATACCCCGATCACAGATGATGCGAATGACACGGCTGGTGGGAAGAGAGAGATTCCAGATATGCAGGCGAATCTCGGCTGGTAGCATGGGGAAGTAGTGAAAATCGGACATTTTGTTACGGCTGAGACGGGGCTTGACGTTAACACTCGATGGGAAAACCGGGAATATCATTCAGTCGACATGTGATAATAACAGTATTATTGCTCCCAGTAAGGTCTAATTGATAATAGAGGATTCAAATGAGTGTTCGGATAAATGACATATCCAGCTACGTGGTTGTTTCGAGCTTCTCATCCAACACAAACTAAATCAGAGCCAAGCCAAAACAACCTTAGCGCTATGTAGTCAAGCGTTTAGGTCAGGTCCAAGTTCCAACAGTACTTTTGCGGTCAGACACCTTTTCCATCCCCTGGCATGCCTGGGTAAGATGGGAAAAAGTGTGTCACTTGTCGGTGACCGTATACTTCTGTCCATGTTCCGATCGTGCTTGGCAAATCGTCATGCCTTACTCCACCAACACATATACATATAGATAGTGTCGACCAGGCAAAACTTCACGTTATTAATCCTTCTTGAGGTCTAATATCACCACAGACTGAATGCGCGTATCAGTGGGTCCCGCCCATGCCTAAAGGAGACACTGTCTCTTCAAACCTAAGCTTTGCCTATATTGCATGCCTCCAGGCGCTATCCGAGGGTTGAAAACTTTCAGCTTCTGATATAGCTTGCCTGTGTTACTGCACGTGCTTTACCGGAGTGGCCAGTCTGCCTAGATACTCTTTGGGGTCATTATGTGAGTTGGATAGCCGATGGTACGATATAGCTTTGCATTCCAGATGAAGTTGAACGAGGAGGGCTATTCCAATTATTAGTCCTTTGCTATCGATACTTCAATTTGTACTTGCAGTCAAGCATCCTGACACAAGGAACCACGGCAGGATGTGGTCATAGCACGAAATGACGTTTTATTTATCCGCCAGTGTCGGCACAAGGATAGTCTGACCATATGGATATAAGCTGGTGCAGACATGATGTCGAGTGGGGAAGGGAAAGATTCGCCTGACCCAAATGGAGAAGCCGGGCTGGTCGATATAGGGAGAGCCACTCAAATGCCGAAATGTCAAGCATCCCCGTTTCAGCCAAGTCCTTGGCCGTCATCCCGGTCATATTCTCCGGTGACAGCGTGACTTGCAAGGTGTGCTCCTTCTGTGATTTGTGCGAGCAGACAGGAGTAGAAGCGAAGATTACTCCGGACGCCATGCTTGGCAACATAGTCTACAGCACTTACCACTCTATATCCGCCTATCTTGAGCCAAGCCAGGGCACCTTCATTTGACAACACTTGCTTCAACGGGGGGTTCGGGTTGCGATTGGAGGGTATGATAGGGAAATAGTTGGAATGGCCTCGCAGCTATCCCTACTATTCCACCGTTGTCCAGTGGCATAAACTGCACCGAAATTACATGAGATTTCGGTGCAGTATGGTCCACCAATAACTGTTCCATCTCGGTAGTGTTTCTGTGTATACATGGCTATAAAAGCCTCGTAGTCTACTGTAGACATTCGTTGAAGACTAAACAATTCGATCCCTATTACCAGTTTCTCACTATGTGGTCAAGCATTGCGGCGCTCCCCGTTCTTGTTCCCGTCGCTTTAGCATGTCTGGGCTACGAGGGAGGAGTTCCTACTCCCACCGCTCATCATTCCAATAGCGCCGTGATTGAGGTTGCGGCGGGACAGGTCTTCGACGCCGGCTGGGCCAAGTACGACCGCGGCTCTGGCGCCTGTAACGGCCAGTCCGAGGGCGATTGGAAGGACGCCGTATTCTACCTCCACTCCGGTGCTACTCTGAAGAACGTCATCATCGGCGCCAACCAGGCTGAGGGGGTGCACTGTGACGGTCCATGCACGCTGCAGTTCGTCTGGTTTGAGGATGTTTGCGAAGATGCCATCACTATTGTGAGTATCAACGCACATATACATAAACTTGGTCAGGTCTCATGATAGGTAGAAAAACGACAAGGCAGGCCAGGAGACTTGGATCATAGGCGGTGGTGCCTATCACGCCTCGGACAAGATCGTCCAGCACAACGGTTGTGGTACTGTCAATGTGAGTGATGGTTCTTTATCCCTCCCTCAACCAATGCTCAACGTTGTAGATCATCAACTTCTATGCCGAAGACTACGGCAAAGTCTATCGCTCCTGCGGTAACTGTGACAACCAATGCAAGCGGAACGTCTATGTTGAGGGCACTACAGCGCGTGATGGCGGCGAAGTGGTCGGCATCAACCTCAACTACGGTGATACGGCCACTCTGAAAAATGTGTGTACCGATGCTGACCATCCTTGTGTCTTTTATGATGGCTGTGCGGGTGACTGCGAGCCAAAGAAGGTCGGATACTGCTCTGGTTAAGGCTCAACCATTGATCGGTCGCACGATGAAGCGATCGTCGATACAGAAAGTCATGACTTCTGTAGCTGATTGCGATCCTCGTGGCGTGAGGACAAATCTCTTTAAGCTCTGCGATTGATGTGGTGATGGAGATCAACCCTGCAACAGGCCCCAAGTGATGTTTAGCTTATGATCAAACACGGCATCAGACCATATGAGCTCTTTCAATCTTTGCTTCCAGCACAGGACCGAATGTATTTCGAAGGTTTGAAACAGTAGACGAAGGCCACTGTAGAAGAATTCCCGGTCTGGGATAGCTGTAGCCTCCAGGGCACCCACTGTGAGGAGCCACAACGCCAATTCTGACGGAACTGATGTTGGACTGAGGGCCTCCATCAAAAGCCGCAACTGCCGCACATGTACTTCTGTCACTACTGGGCTAATGCCTGACATGCGTCGGAACTCGGCAAGATATAGCAACGCTCCGGATCGAAGGCTGGACCATGGACCAGAAGTGTATGCATTATAGCGCAGGGACAAGAACCGATGAGTAAGTGGGTGGATTATCCTATCAACCTCTGTCGGATTTGACCAGATAGAGTCATGCGGAGCTATCTGCGCGGTGGCGCATTGTAATAATTGAAAAGCCGAGAGCAAGGGCGCCGGAAGATCCAAAGAGTCTAGGCACGGTGAGACAGACTTGGAGGCCTGTATACAATCAACGGCTTCATTTATATCTCCTAGGACAGGGACGATGTCAAGTGCATATGAACCAATTACATCCACCCTGTACTTGTTAGCAAATTGCCTCAAGTGGGACCAATTGGGCGCTCTTTGAGTGCGAACCATTTAACGACGGTCACCAACTTCTCATCCAAAGACCCCAGTGATAAGCCCGACTCCTGAATAAGTCTTGACACAGCTGACATGTGCGATCTCCATGAAACCATATCTCCTTGCAGATGTGAATAGCATGCCAAGGCGGTAATCGCGCTCAATGTACCCTCCAGGACCTGCTTACTGCCCAGCGACATATCACTGATATCATGCCGAACCCGCACAAGCGCTTTGGTATGATTCAAAAGTATGAAGTCCTTCAAGTCGTCTTGCACGTGGTATTGTGAGATATGGGTAGCATATGAAGCCAACATCTGGTCAAAAGCGGCGGAATTCGTGATACAGATTGGGTACCAGCGGTCTTTGTATATTCGAAGGTGGCTCGGGATGGCATCTGAGAACACTGAGAGGAGGTATCTGTTAGTACGATACAACCCAGACGGGCTACAGATCTATGAAAAGCAACATACTGTGGTGGAGTAGTCGCTGCGAGTCCCTATCCCACGGACAGGTCAGGAACGATGCGATATGGGCCGACGAGGGTGGACAGCCTGAACCTTGAGGCCTTCCAGATTGAGGGTCAACAGGAAAAGTGCTGGAGGATGAAGGAGATGCTATCGTGTCGCTGTCTATGCATAATGATGTCGAAGCTCTCTGAAGATATGCTGTGCGAGGATACCGGCGGGCGTACCCAATCTCGCGCATGACGCGCCGCCGCATCTGAGATCGCTGTTCCTTGGTCGGACGCGGCCGCGTGGGAGTGGTGGTAATGAAGACCCATTCATCGGGTCGATATTGGGAGATAGGTGACATGACGCATCATGTTATCTCTGGTGTGTACATTCTGCCCACTGCTTTCATGCTCCCAAGAGGGGGAGAAGGTGAGCTTGGCTTATCTCCACACAACAAAGTCCCCCCGCCGTATTGCGTCATGTGACGTCTATTGACTGTCGGCGCCTTCGCGCAATCAATTGGACCAACTTTTCAGTGTTCGTCAGAAATTCAAAGTACATGTGCTTTCGGGGCAGAAAGAGAGTAATGGAGATAAATTGTGGTGTATCAAAGTGCAGAGCGTTGATAGATGCAGCGCTTCTGCACTGACAACATGAGGTTATATTAATATATATACAGCCATATATAAAGCCGTATATTATACACTGTTACCTTTCGCACAAACCCATCTCTTCCTGCATCTCGTCTACAGTTTCTTTGGACGGCATAAATAACATGTCCATCTGGCAGGTAGCGCAGAGGTGTCAGTTCGGGGGAGCACCTTTAAGAATATTAAGGCGACTGGCACTACAACAAAGCTGCCGGTAATCGTCTGCAGGTGCTCGTAGAGCAATTCATGCCTTTGGATCCTTGTTCAGCAGCTTGATTGATCTCCTCAGGCAGGTTGTGCACACATGGGCGATCAAGGGGTATGGACGAGATTTGCTCAGGATCATGTAACGGGGACTTCTGACCTACCAGGGGTGGTTTAATGAGGTATTATCAGATGTATAGGAAATATTACGAGGATCTGCCTTGCACATAATTATACGAGACCTGTTCGTTATTCTGGTAATTCTAATGGGTCTGAGGACGCAATTCGATGGAATGTCGACAATTTAATCCAGGTCCCTAATTTGTCGAGCGATCTGACTCCGCAACGCCTGCCTAGAAAATACGCGACGGGAGTGTATCGTTTCCTTTCTCTATCCGGGGTGCAATTAGGCCAGAAGTCTCTATACAAGCTCCCTGTCGCGTTCCTGGCTGCTCTTCCTGGAAGGCTGTCGCTCATGGAATGATGTACAGACGGCATACACCAAAGCAATACCAAACGCAAGTGCAGATAGTCCCACCGACGTCCACAGGGCAGCACGGTATCCTTTTAGCAGGTCCACGCCGTGATGACTTACTTCGGCCTCTACAGTCCCCGCTATTCCCAAGCCGATGGCGATAGAGTAATTTATGACGGTGTTGACTAGTGACGCCGAGGCACCCTGGTGCTTGACGGGCACAGCGTCACTCAAGATAGTAGTGGACGCAGGGAAGGAGATATCCATACTGTGGGGAATAGGTTAGCTTCGCCTATATTGAGCGCTCAGTGTGACAGGGACCTTACCCCCAGGCCATAATGACAAAGGACCAGAATGTATTCAACCAGTATGACTGCTCTACTGCTGCCGTACTCTGCAGGAGACATCCACCAAGAAACGCAGCACAAGCAATTACCATCAACCAGCTGCTAGAGACGACTGCCATTAGATACGGTGTGGCAAGGGCAGCAAGGATCCCTGAGATGGCTCCTGGCGCGAACTGCACTGCTGAATCCAAAGCCGACACATGTCGGAAATGCTGGATAAACTGAAACAGGTAATAGAACCAGACACCAAAGCTGCTCCATCCTAGGCCGGTCGTCACTAGGACTGCTACCACGCGTCGACTAAATATGGATACGTCCAGAATCGGATCCATGGCGCGCCGTTCCTGGAGGACAAAGAGCCCCAGAATGAGAAACCCAACAATCAACAAGACGTACACATAAGGCGTGGACCAGCCGTCGATTGGAGCTTGGTTCCATGAGGTATTGAGCAAGAGTAAGCCCGCAACGCCCAGAGCAGATCCGATATAGTCAAACTGGGCGTTCTTCTGGTAGGATGAATAGTCCGGGGGAATCACCCAAAATGCAGTCGCAGCAATGATGAAGCATCCGATGCTGTATGTCCACATCACCCAGGGCCACCAGATATGCTCCGCAAAGGCCGACCCGATGACACCAGCGGTAAAGCATCCCAGTGGTGCGGCTACAGCAAAAGCGGAGAAGATCATGTTCTTCTTCTTGCCCGGTGGGTAGGTTCTCCCAGCGATGGCGAGGGCATTCGGGAGAAGCAATGCCGGCCCAATGCCCTGGAGTGCTCGAGCAGTATCAAAGAACACTGGTGAATGTGTAAAGGCACTGCAGCCGCCGATGACAGACCAAACGCCAAACCACACCCATCCGACGATAATGATGCGCTTGGAACCATACAGATCGCCGAGCTTTCCTGCTATCAAAATAAATGTGCCCACTGTCAAGCTATAACCGCCCACATGCCAGGTCATCTGCGTCGCCTCGGATGGTCCCTGACCGAAGGTTTGCCCCACGATAGGCAATGGGATGAGGATATATCCGAAGGAACCTTGAACGAAAAGTTGAGTGCAGCACAAGACAATAATAAAGAGCCATTCCTTCAGCCCACGAGGTGGTGTCTGGTAGGCATCCGGCTGTCCAGCCTCTTGTGATGCGTCAGTTGGAGACATCACGGAACAGGGATTGGCCACTGCCATTGAGAGTGATAAAGAAAATCTTCATTATAGTTCCAAAACGAAGCAGAGACATTCGGATGGACATGGTTTTAAGAAGAGACATTAAGGCCTGGGAATAGGTGAGTATCAAGTTCACTGGTGTTGACGTAGCTAATCTATAGTCCCCCGGATCCCAGAAACGGAAATGTGGGCCAACCAGGTAGAGCTAAAGTGGAGCCAGACAGGGGACCAAGCCCTCGATCTGGACTAGCGTCTTGTTAAAACCCATGGGTTTAGGGGGGCTGGCAGGGACCAGGCACCAAGTTGGGGCTAGCGCTATCTTCTTCCAATATTAAATGTCAACTGGTTATCTAGTTCTGCATAAAGCATACACTGCATTACTACAATACAACCAATCTGATATCAGCAACAACGTCAGACCTTATGCGTACTCATAAACTAGTTCTCCTTCGAACCAGGTCTTCGACACCTTTGTAGTAGCGAAATCATCTTGGGTAAGATCTCTGTCAACGCAAATGAAGTTTGCAATCGATTCTGCTTCCTGTTCAAAAGGCCTAGTTTTTACCCTCTTGTCCCAGCAAACAGAATGTTTCTTACCTGCTCCCTTTCTGTTGCTGTCGCCCCTGCCAGCGTGATAATCCCCAGGATCTTTTCTGCACCAATTGTGTTTACAAGTACTGCGACGTTATCGAACATGGACAATGGAACCCCGTGTGCCCAATCACTGCCGATGGTGTTCTCATCCGTGGGATTCCTTCCGGAAGAAAGATCTTGATGGGCGATCCGTAGTATGAAATACATCTAATATCAAGTTTGAGTGTCAGACCTATTGCCACAACGACAGGCCTGGCCCCTTTACAGAGTATAGGAACTTCCGTGGGTTAGGCTGCAGGGTTTGCATGAGGAGGCAAGTTACATAGTTGATGGGAACGAGACGTATATCGCGCAAGTAATTTGGAAACCTAGGACTACCCAACAAAGTTTAACGTATCTACCCTGACGCCTCGCTCTAACCGATTTTTTTTCAGCTCTTTCGGCAGTTCGATTTTGCCATGGTCAATCCGGTTGAGCCTTTTCGGTGGGCTAACCATGGGCTGACAGCCCATTTTGGTATGAATGTGAGGATCACGCGGCGGGAGGCAGGGAGCGATGTGGGAGTATTTTGCCTGTAGAAATGGTATAAATTGCAATATTTATGTAGGATTGAATTATTTATGAATCGATATTGGATTACTCTCATTGTAAACAAAGCCAGGTCAGGTGACAGGACCGGGGGGGTGTCCATCTTTTAAGACGTCCTCTCCTCCATTCGCTTTGCCCTCCCTCCTTTATCCCTCCATCTAGAAATAAACTCTCTGCTCTACTTCGTCCTGACGATGTCCAAGTCCCTAGGTCTAGCTAGAGTCTCCACGTCTAATTCCCGCACCGACCCCCCAGGCAGCACTGTAGACAATGTCACTCCCGCGCCCGCACCCTCGTCATCCGCGGAGTCTCCGCGTCTCTCCTCCGCCACCATTTCCTGGACCATGATGTCGCTTTGTCTGTCCGTGCTCCTCTCCGCACTTGATTTAACTATCGTTACTCCTGCAATTCCCGCCATAGTCGGCACATTCAAGACCGCCGCCGGTTATATTTGGGTAGGAAGCGCTTATACCCTGGCCTACGCAGCCATTACGCCAGTATGGGGCTCGGTCTCCGACATCTGGGGCCGGAAACCCATTATGCTCATTGCGGTCGCGGTCTTTCTTGTCGGCAGTCTTGTCTGCGCCCTTGCGCCGCATATGGATGCTCTGATCGCGGGACGGGCGATTCAGGGATTGGGCGGCTCCGGAATGGGGATCATGGTCAACATTGTTATCAGCGATATGTTTTCGCTGCGAGATCGGGGGTTGTATCTCGCAATCACTTCGCTTGTTTGGGCGGTTGGCAGTGCCATAGGGCCCGTTCTGGGGGGCGTTTTTACGACGAGGCTTAGCTGGAGGTGGTGTTTTTGGATTAACTGTGAGAAAATCCATCTAACCTGGTGGCCCTAAGCTTACTCCCTCGACCGTATAGTACCGGTCGGAGCGGTCTCCTTTCTTGTCTTGCTCTTCTTCATGAGAGTCCCGAGCCCTCGAACACCCATCACCGCCGGTCTAAAAGTCATCGACTGGACAGGCAGCCTTTTGATTGTTGGCGGCTCTCTGATGGTTCTCCTGGCCCTTGACTTTGGTGACGTCGTCTACTCGTGGTCTTCTGCAACTGTCATCTGTCTGTTGGTTTTCGGAACAGCAGTGATGGCCCTGTTTGTACTGAACGAATGGAAGATAGCCAAGAACCCCATTATCCCGGTTTGGCTATTCACGTCGCCGACCAAGATAGCGCCTTACGTTGTCTTCGCGTGTAATTCATACGTGTTTATTGGACAGGCGTATTACCTGCCCTTATATGCGCAGTCCGTCCTGGCCGCAAGCGCGCTAACATCAGGGCTCTACCTCCTCCCGCTGATCGTCTCATGTTCCCTGGCCGCGGCCGCAGCGGGGATCTTCATGCAGCAAACCGGGAAATACCTCCCGGTGATGTACATTGCCCAGGGCTTTTTGGTCCTCGGCTCCGGCCTGCTAATTAGTCTCGAGTTTGAAGCCAGCATAACCAAACTCATCATCTTCCAGATCCTGGTCAGAATCGGTGTGGGTATGAACATCGAAGCGCCGATTCTTGCTGCTCAGGCTGCGACCAGTGTTCGGGATACGGCTGCCGTCACTGCGACGATGGGGTTTGTTCGGTCTCTCTCGACGGCTATTTCGGTGGTTGTCGGGGGTGTGGTGTTTCAGAATGAGATGAATGCGAAGAACGAGGGGTTAGCAAGCCAGCTGGGCTCCAACTCAACTTTAGCTCGCGAATTCAATGGCAACCTTGCCGCTTCGAGTGTGGAGGAGATTAGCATCCTTGGATTAAATGCAGATCAAGAGGCCTTGGTTAGGAAGATGTACTTTGAGGCGTTGAGAATGGTGTGGATCATGGTAAGTCACCGCAACATAGCAAAAGTGTCAGTGCATCTATGCTAATGGTATGCCTTGTTTGCTATTAGTATGTGGCCTTTGCCGGACTAGCTACCGTCCTTAATCTGTTCGTCCGAGCGCATAAGCTTCGGAGTGAGAATGAGGGCGCCGTGCTGGGGGCCGACCGGTCACGGCAACAGGGGACCCCCGCTGATGGGGTCGCAGAATTGGAGTTGCGGAATGGGCGAGTTAATTAACGTTGGCTGTGGTTGCTGACTTGAAAGCGGTTCCTTCGTAGTATCCCAAGGGTAACGGGGCAAAGTCCTCGGCTGCAGCTACGCAAAATCTACGTAGCCTAACCTGGGATGGGTTCGGTACTGTACATGCAGATGCAGCCAGTACAATATCTTATGGTCGTATGTACTAGATTTAGTGCATCTAAGCCATATGTAGTATATTAAGACCCGGTTCTCATATTGAATTTGGCTCTGTTCAATTCGTAAGCAAGATGCTAGAAAGTAAATGAGAGAACAACGGTGGGCTCTTACAAGCAAATCCACAGGTTCCTGACTTGTGCACAGGCTGGGTAGGGCGTCCGATCTCTATCTACAAACTGGCATCCTTATATCCAGTCTGATATAATAGTTTGACTTCAAGGGTGGTATCTAGTGTGGAAGTCCAGCAGGAGGAAATGATGAATCTAAGCATACATAAAGGGAGTAATAAGTGTATAATACCCGAGTACGGAGAGCTAATCAGTACTGTTCTTAGTTCCCAGACGATGGCAGACGCAGTTCGAGACTTCGAGCTATGACACTTCTGCGACAGCTACCTCCAAAAGTAGACGTTACCAGGGTGAGCAATGAAACTATAACGGTCTAGCATGGATGCCAACGTTTTTAGGTAATACTGAGGATAAACATAATCTGAGAGAAAAATGTACTGTCAGTGTCTAGTCCTGTCCCTCTTCGATGCTTGCCATTTCCTGGACCATCTCCTTGGCTATCCTGCGTGTCTTTCGATCCAAGGCAGTGACCAAGCTAATCCATTCAAATCTCTCCCTCCAGAACGCCCATCGTTCCTTTGACCAGCCCTCGGATCCTGTCCACTTGGTTGGAAACTCTCTTCCCATGGATCCTTCCATTGCATATATTTCCCTGCCACAATGTCTGATCCACTGTGCTGCGGCAGGTACCCACCCGTTGAGGGTTCTGATATCAATCTCTTCCAGCAGGTGGTCACGTAGCTCACAATACTCCTCGTCGTCCTCATCATTGTCTAGATCTTCTAACTCTTGTTCGACATCTTCATGATGGAATTTCTCCCATGGAGCTTTCTCCAGTGTCTTTCTCAAGACCCAGCCACCGTGACGGAGATGACCGACATTGTTAGCACGGATGCCCCTAGCATAGAGCTTGGCTGCGAAAGAGTTGACATTAACCCAAGCTTGCCGCTTTTCATCGCGTTGAGGAGCATAAAACGGATGATCGACGTCTGCTTTGTTAGTTTGAGGTTGTAGCTGATCTTGGAGAAGACATACAGTCAAATACAAATTCTGTCATATATTCACTGAGCCCATCCAGCCGAGTAAAAGCTCCGTTGCAGTCAGACAGACTCTGCAGTGCCGCAACAAAGTCCACCAGGCGGTCGTTCTGATCCGTAAATTTACCGATGGTTTCAACAAGGAGAGGCCATAGTGACGTGTAGTCGGGATCTGGGTTGGACTCCTTGATGAAGCACGACACAGCTTCTCGGGCTGCCGCCGATGGTGGAGTGGAAGGATCCGCCAGAAGTGACTTGATTGCTGAGAGCATGTTCGCAGGTGCGGGGTATTTTTTCTGGCTCTGCGCTGTGATGAAAGCCTCATATTCAGGATCCATAATGTTTAGATTTGGCTATGCGTGATTGTTGTGACAAAGGAGATTCAGAAGGTGGTTCGTTTTAAAAGCTTAGTCTTTGGGCTGTGCCGGGGTTCTAGTTTAATGGCAATGTGTTATGTGTCAGACAAGGCTGAATTTGCCAAATGTTCCTTCATGGCTTAGCTTTCAGCCAAGAATACAATAGTCCTTCCCACTTGACAGTGAAGCCAGAAATGGCCCCCACATTGTCCGACCCTAAAGACACTAAGACATGGCGGTGCAGTCGGTGGGTCACTTGATGATGATGATCATCAACTATAACAAATAAACAGTGCAGGATCATCCACATTCCAAAGAAATTACTGGTTAATCTGACAAAAAGCTATTAATGGGCTTGAATTGAGGTGGGGATCAACAGAGTGACGCGCAAACTGAATCCGGGACAATAGTTGACCACAAAAGGGCTCTCTGCATCCAAAACGAATTTGGTGGGAAAGTAGCTTAAGGCTTCATTCTATGGTCATGTATGTAAACAGCTCATATACAAGGGCTTCTAGACTTTTGCTGTTTGCTAGCAACGAGTGCTTGTTTTAAGAACGGTAGTCTTTCCATGCGCATTCTCCTGCTGCAGTCTTGCTTCCCGACTCCGTATGCATCCGAATAAGGCTATTGCTTGAAATGGGATCTGCTTTCTTTTTCCTCGGCCCTCAGGGCTGAAGTGATGAGAATGGGCTGCTGCATATTTGGCCCCTCTTGCCTGAACGCCTTGGATCTTCTTGCAAAAAGCAACAAGATGATGGCTTTCGACCGATATAAAAGAGTCTCGAAAACCTGCCGAAGCTTGTGTTCACCAACCTACTACTACGACTCTCCCGCAAGATCCCCGTGGTTAGAATCACTCTGGAGACCTTTTCATATAACTTCAAGATGCCATCGTTCTTTCGTTCACTGGCTCTTCATGCTCTGTTGGCTGGCGCTCTGGTGGCCCAGGTCACCAATGCGTATCCCCAACCTGCTCTCGTTCGTTCGAAAGATGCAAGCTTTCCTCCTCATGACACTATCAACACCGAACCAGTCTCAATGGTGCGTTCCGTTGAGGACGATGGTGAGCTGTACAAGCGTTCGAAGCCTTTGAAAATCGCCCAAGAACCGAGTAAAAGTTACAGCTGTCCGGCGACAAATAACTATGGAGGGACTACATACACCTCTGGGCAGCTCAAAGTTGCTTTTATCAGGGCAGCCCAATACGCCAACGATGGCCAACAGATTGGAGACAGTGAGTTTGCAACCAATCCTTGAAAACCACCTTACTCACTGCTATACAGGAAACTACCCGCATACCTTTGGCAATGGCGAGAATCTTCCCTTCCCCTGCGGCAGGAGCACCATGGAATTCCCCTTGGATCGAGACAACCCGGACACTGTATACAGCGGTCAGAGTGTGAGGACCTTGCCAGACCGTCTTGTCTTTGAATTCAAGGATGGCAAAAAGGAGGGAAAGGCAAAGTTCTGTGGGGTGATGCGCCATGGAAACAACGGTGATTTTGTCAACTGCCCATAAATCTTATCAGTCTTACCTGTAAGAAACATATTTATCTGTATTGCTACGATGCCATATCTCCGCCTTGTATTGAGCTTTAAGAGCAAAAAAAACAGTTTCAGTTTATGTTTGGCCAGTTAATCCAGTGGAACGTCAGTATGAAGGCATAATAAGTGTAAAGCTGAAAGAGCAAGTCGTCCTGAGCCCTCGATCTGAAGGCAGACAAAAGGCTCCCTTAGGTCTCAGCATTAAGCCTTAATACTATGGGGCGGAAAGTATCGGCATCCCTTTCTATTTTTATCCGACATTTTCCGATGATGACTCCCGTGACAAAAAAGTAGCACTTCTTGGTGAGCAGACCGTAATATGTCCGACCACGGAATACACCATGTCTTCCAGAACCAAGACAAAAGTGGCTTGTAAGTTCTGTAATCTTCGCCGAGTCAAATGCGATCGAACCGAGGACAGGGCGTGCATCAACTGTCGAGTGGCTGGTCAGGAATGCGAGCCGATCGTCTCGCGACGTGGAAAGTATTGACGCCGTTCCCACACTGGTTATGATTTGAGCTACTAAGTTTATCCAGATACAAGCGTTCCAATACCAGGCGCCATCGGAGTGCGTCTGCTCGTCGAGCTGTTCAATCTCAAGATGGGAAGCAGTGTAGCCCAAGGACTCAACCTGCACCAGATCGAGAGAGCGCCGGTCCAGATCCCACAGAGGATGGGACGGCTGGGAAAGAAGCCTGTGGATCTGATCAACCGCGCAGCCAGGGCTTTATCGAGAGGGCCAATAACCCAGGTCGCGGCAAGGAGATGGTGTACTACGGAGATGCGTTCAATATCAACTACGTCCTACGGGAGATGGGCAATCCTTTCCAGGGCGATTTTGACAGCTCCTCCTTTAAACTTGGCATCGAGGAGTTGTATATCAACCGCTTAGGTCAGCCGACGAAGGATCGGCTTGACTCTCATGAATGCAGCGAGCGCATCCGGCTACAAGAAATGGGCGCATTCCAGCGCCTCGACACGGAGATAAGCGACGCCCTTGTCCAGACTTTTTTCGCTATCGTATACCCGCTCTGTCCCATTTTTGATCTTTCAGAGTTCCACACCAAATACAAGGCAGAACAGATCTCCCCTCTTGTGTTGCAGGCGCTGTATTTCGTCGCCGCGGCTCATTGTGAATTGTCACTGATCGAAAAGGCGGGGTTTGCCAATCGGTACATGGCTACTTTTACATTCTATCAAAGAGCAAAGGCATTGTACGATGCAAACTATGAATCAGATGCTATTGCTACAGTCCAGGCCTTGTACTTTCTGTCCTATTGGTGGGGTAGTCCTTTGGAACAAAAGGATATGTGGCACTGGACGGGGCTAGCTGTTGGCCTTGCACAGACTCTCGGCTTGCACCAGAGGTCAGTTCATATCGCTATTGAGTTTAACTTTGCGTCGACTAATTGTTCAATCCAGTAAGACATATGCGGGCTTACCAGTAAGGCAACAGAAGTTTTGGAGACGTATTTGGTGGACCGTCTATGTATGGTGTGAACATGACGGACAGAACCTAGCTGACCAGATGATAGAGTCATGATATCCTTATGGCCCTTACGCTGGGCAACACTCCGCACGTCAATGAGGCATATTGTAGCGTGCCCTTGTTGTCTGAGGCAGACATTGAGGACAATGAGGAAGACATGGATGATATGCATCTGTTTATAAGTTGGACTCCAGAAAGCCGTCTGTACATCGTTTATCTTGTGGACTTGGCCAAGCGAAGTATATATCCCACAACACAATCGTCTGCAAACATTGCTGACTTTTCCCAGCCAGTCAGTGTCTCCAGGCCCTCTTCGGTGCCAGATCGGATGAGTCTACAATACAAACCAGCCTTGACAGAATCTCCTCATGGCAAACAACCCTTCCCAAAGCACTACAGTGGAACCACTCCGCGATTTCCTTGCAGAATGGCCATTGGTCGTCTTTAATCCATCTGACATACCAGTACGTACAGTCAGTCCCAATTAGATGAATATAACCAACACAGAGGCAGCACATGCCAAATCCTTCTACATAGGAACGGATTCCAGTCCCCAAATAGGCTGAGGATAGGCTCACTGCCTTCTGATGCTGCTGTCAATATTGTGCGAATCCTCGAGGACATGATGTCCTCTGGCGTTCTAACCGTGTCGTGCCTACGAACGTATGCTGTTCATCTCTACAGATCCAATGAACAACAGGCTGACAGACAACAGACTACCGGCTGTATTTGCCTCCCTAAGTGTCCAGATTGCGAACATTAGTGGAAGTGCACCCGATGCAACCGAAATTGCAAAGCATAGAGCGCGCTTCTGCATGCTTGTCCTGAAAACGTTGCAGGATCGTTGGACTCCGCTCCTATGGTACTATTCTATGTTCGTGAAAATACTGTACAAAATGGGCTGTGAAATTCCAGATGACGGGGGCCACAGCACTGGTTCATCCCATGGTCACTCCTTGGCGGGCTCGGGTGCGGCTGAGCCTCTTTCTGAAGCTATATGGAGGCAGCCGCAACACAACCCGGTTTCGGATGTTTCCAGCGGGTCATTCATGGCGCAAGTCCTAACCGAGGAGGCTGATTATGGTGCAATGCTGGAGTGTTTCCCATTTTCCAGCTTCTTGACTGACAGCATTTCTGGACAATCCGACAACCTGGTGGACCAGCCTGGCATTTAGCCATACCCTTATCTCCGGTACCACATCCTCGTCACCTTTGTACCCCTGATCTTCCTCTTCAACTGAAGAATACCATATAGAAGCGCCTCGGGCGTTGGCGGACAACCAGGCACATAGATATCGACCGGTACCAAGCGATCCACACCCCGAACAACACTATACGAGTGATGATAATATCCGCCCCCGTTCGCACAACTTCCCATACTAATCACCCACTTTGGGTCGGGCATCTGGTCGTACAGTTGTCGTAATGCCGGTGCCATCTTGTTGGTCACTGTTCCCGCGACGATCATGACATCGGCTTGCCGGGGCGAGGCGCGGAATATGATTCCTTGACGGTCCTGGTCATATCGGGGCATTGAGGCGGCCATCATTTCGACGCCGCAGCAGGCCAAGCCGAAGGAGAGGGGCCAGAAGGAGCCTTGGCGGGCCCAGTTTATGAGCGAGTCAGCTGTTGTTCTGAGGAGGTTAGTATGTGGCAGTTGCACGGATGATGGCAACTGACAGTATATGGTGTAGCTTGCCGGCATTGTCTTCTTTGCTTTGGCTGAACGAAGTTGGAAGCGAGGGGTTGGCTACTGTGTGCTTTTGCCAGCTTGAGGATGCTCGCAACTGGAATTGTAGCACCTTTGCTCTCGGACGGATATCGATCGCACAAGTATTTCCATATCGCCCAGATATATCAGGCTTGGAGCACAATGGTCGGAGAGGTGTATATAACCGGGCTCGCATCATATCCTGAACGGATGTGTCGAATTGAATTAATTAATAAATCTCTATCTGTGAACAATGCTCATGAAATAAGACCAGTTGCAGAGAGGAAAGCATAATATATCATACAATATAATGTCGCCGATATGGGTGTTAATCAACTAGATTCCAAGTCGGCGATATGGCTTCTTGATGGCAGAGGCATATCGCCGACTTGAGACTTTCATCGCAAATCAGACGGACAACAATCCTGGAACTGAAGTCAACAACTGAAACAGATGTCAGAATAGTACCTTCTTGAGGACTAGCCATGTTTACAAGGAGAAGTCAATTGACCAAGTGTTATATGCGCAGTCATCTGATCAAAAACTCCCTTGGCGTCGGCAATGCTTCGGGTGAGCAGTAGCTTTACAACCAGGGTATATAGACAGGGAAGGTGGTCCTTCTTTTTTTTTCTTTTTTTCTAAATATCGCATCCAGGGGCAACTCAAATGAATACATCACAATGACCTAGCGTCACCTAAGTATTTAGTGAAAATCTAACAGGTTAAGGTGGGACAAGGGCAGAAATTCCTAGGATAGTGCTATTAAAGCGGCTAAAGCCTCTAGTTATTTAAAGATAGTTAGTTAGACAAAAAACATCTTTAAATATCAGCCATGATCTCGCGCTCACTGATGGCAGACGAAGACCACCTCATCATAGTGCTGGCGAGAGTCCATCCAGCAGGGAGTGTATGTTAACAGAATGAAGAATTAGAATTTGCCAGTACCTGCTGACCAATGACCTCAGCCTCAGCTCAGGAGAGAGTGGAGAGTCGTTCTGTTGCTCTTCTTAGCAGAGATGACTCTAATTGTTGCCATCCACGGTGCACTTTGTTAGGCATCTGGTTTATAAGAACTATCTATAGGGACCCCAGTAGCATGGTTAGCTATGTAGGGTCTAGGAGAGGGGTTCTAGTATATAGGTGGTAGTGAGTAATAAGAGAGGCTACCCAATTACTAGGCTAAATTATTAGTTCCCATTATAGGAGTAGGGACTACTAGTATATAGACCCTACTAGGGTAGGAGGTAGAGATATATATTACTATAGTAGAGGTATATCTTTAGTATAGGATTCTATACCCTAATAGATACTAAGTTTAGCTTAGATATTATATAGGAGTAGGACTAGAGAGTAGTTAATCTAGCTAGTAAGGTAATCTAGATTATCTAGTATAAGAAGTAGTATAGCCTAGGTGGGCAGAGTATACCTGTGAGTCCCTATATAGACTCATCCACACCCTACTTCTCCGATTCTTCCACACTTCAGCGCATTATGCAGTGATTTGAGGTCGTTTCTTTGCTCATCAGTGTCCAAACTCTGATTTCTGGAGGCATCAAACGATAGTACTGTTGACACATTCACTCCTGTCTTTTCCTAGATATCTTGATAACTCAACAATGGATTAGTGCGAATCGCGTGCAGAATTGATCGCTGATCTCTACTAGATAGCCTAGCAGGCTGACTGCAGCAGAGAAAGGATTTTCCCTGTTGATGTAGGGGGTTCTTCTTGAGGGCATACTGAATGGTTGATCGCGGAGTTTTAAGGGTACCAATAGTCTGATAGTATCCACGGAGACACCAACCCAACTTGGAAGCCTTGAATAACTGTACAGCAGTAGGGACTTCGCTCATCTCCACATCCCTGATTAGGGTCAATTTCTTTTAGAGGCATACATTGCATGGTTCCACGCTAGAAAAAAATGCTAGGTTGAGAAATGCGTACGCAGAAAATGCTATGTGGTACGGAAACTCGTGGGTTCGACTGTAATAACCTAGTTCTGCCTGCGCGCGAGCCTACGTATTGATAATGAGGGTCTATCCGTTCCTTGCCTGAGTTCAGTTGAAACGGTTGTAGGAGTGGAAGACAAATACGAATTTCACCCTTTCCTCACCCAAGAGAGAACGCAACCGTGGCTTCGAATTTTTAAGGTTTTTGATTCAAGGAAGAGTCGTTGTCGTCTCGATAGCAGCAACTTGAGGATCCGATTAACCGCAGTGCGGGTGATTCTGGGAAACAAAACAATATTGGAGGAAGACATAACTGATTTCTTTCATCATCATAATTCACCTAAGAAAATTGAGCAGGATGCTTAATGCAGGTGAATTGAAGAGTTACAAACGAGCTTGCCAGAGCACCTCAGCCGGTAGCCAACAAACAGGGCTTGTATTGAATTGAAGGGAGCCAATTATGCTTGTACAATAGCCTTTCAGGGGTCATTGCCCTCGGGCAGGGCCGCAATCAGCCCGTGATTAGTTCCCGCGTAGCAGACAACCACCCCTCTTCTGTTTGTCCAACAATTGATTGAAATCAACAACTTCAGGAAGCAGCTCGCACTCACTTCGTCTAATTTGTTTCCACATGCTTCGGGAATCACTTTGCAGTTCGTCCAATAATAACTCTATGGGATCTGAATCTTTCTAGCTAGCTTGGTAACAATGATTTATGCTTCGTTCGCTCTAGGTAGGGGTTACGGAACTAAGTTGATATATATTTCGTTACAGATTGTCAGGATCGCGCGCGACCTACTTAGGATGCACGTTTTTTTCAAGCTCCCGAAACATATGTTGAATTGTTATTGGGGCAGATTTGATGCTAAATGAGTGTGTCTGTACAGATAGCGCTTTGAGTTCATAAAATTCGTGCACCAAAAAAAAAAAAAACTTGATTTGGCGGATGTGTGCGCCCTGAGCCTTATCCATCTGGACGATCAGCTAACATCTGAGGGACCGCTTTTAGCTAGAGCTGGACGGTGAGACAGTTCAAAAGGCCCTGTGATACCGTGGTGAGCATAAAGCGCTTGGAAGCTTTCATTATGTAACTTACAATTCCGTTTGTCTCGCAGCATGCGGCTTGATTGTTGCAGCTTCCCACCAGTGCTAAAATCCTATTAACTGTGCACATCGTGCAGCAAGGCAGACAGCACTTACGAAGACAAAGCACAGGAAGCACGTCAATGTTCAGAATGCCATTGGTGAGGCTAGTGCAGCACTTATTGGCTTGCTGGGGGCTGCATGTCGTTGGATCTCCAGTAGGGACTGCGCTCACAACGGTGATGGTAGCCATAATGGCAATGGTAGATAGGAACTGCATGTTGCCGATGGATTGTGCTTTGTCAGTTGAAAAGCGAGAAGGCGTGCGGTGGTAATCAGACTGGACAAAGCTTTGAAAGATGAGATTGCTGTGAGGGAAAAAAAGACTGACTGACAGAGATTGATGAGGAATTTATAGCTTTCTAGGCTTGATATCTGTTAATTCACGGCTTTTGAGTTGGATTGTGTGCAGGCAATGGCTGCAGTTCCCACCAGTAATAGACGTGGAGAAGCGAGAGTGAGAATGCACGCAGTGATACTCTACACGGTCTCGACCTTCGCCCAGTTTCGTGAAGGCGAGGCTATCCATGCTATAGTCATATTACTGGTAAAGTGCAAAGCAGTATCAGTCATACGATGGAGTAACTAGCTCCATTTCCCCAGGATAATCTTGTGGGCGAATAGAACGGTCTGGAACATGCAAACACATTGCTTTTTGCTACTTGCTATGCATTCAGTCTGCTCTTACTTCTTCTCCACTTTATTCAGGGAAGAATTTGACTTCCGGTTTGGCTTTTTTCAGATGTCTCATCGAGCTATAGAAAGGTTCTACCTCCTCAATTACACTTTCCGCTGTGGTCTCATCAAGAGGGATTATGCGCGATGATGTCGATGATTTAGCGTGATGCCGCTCGTGCTGGTCCCCCAGGCTCTCGAGAGTAAGGTAAGCGGCGTCAGGTATACTACGGCCACTCGTCTATTCCACCTGTAGCAAGCTAAGATTGCCTACTCCACTCATCGTTCTCCTCCGCTAATTCGCGGGAACTTTTACTTGTTAAGTAAAATTACTTGTTCTGGTGTCCTATATGGGCGATGTGGCTATTTCTTCTTCAGATTGAACGTTACATGGGTATGAAATTTGGCCACCGTTTCAATTTCCTTGGGTCACTTGACTGATTGCCTGTCAAGAGCGGGGTGTGGGCATTTATTATTCCTTGCAGAAAAGGGAGACAGAGGACTGATCTTAAGCATCAACGTCACCAACCAGTTTGCCAACGTTGTGGGCTTGCTCGTTAATGTATTTTACGAATGGAGTGTTCTCGCAAGCGCTGAGGTAAATGAACTTCTATTCTTTGACCTTTGTGATCTGCACCAAGTTCGCTTTATGCAGGGTGATATATTGTCTCATTCATTGCATCTCGAGTTTCAGGTGATATCCAATCGCTTCAGATTTCCTCTCATGTCCTGACCTAGCTTTCAGATGAGACTGCTGAGGAGCACATATTGTTGCAATCCCTTCCTGACCCTTCACAATCCAACTTTATAATTGTCATGATCTACAGTGGAGTAAAATCTGCACCCATTGGATTGTGTACACAGTTGAGAACCCCTTGAGCCATAGCTATTCAAACTGAACTGACAGCCACTGGTGAAATTTTGTGTGTATAAACTCCTTTACCTGTAGTACCTTCAGCGAGTAGTGAGTATTTTGACTGAGATTGTGATGTTGGGTTAAATCACATTTTTACCCTTTTTATGTGCCAGACGGGACCGTCCAGTGCCAGTACTGACTGTGAAGAAGTATAATTATCTGAGAATACTTTACTGGCTACAGCAGTTTGTCGTTTTACAAGCCTCAGAGCTCTTCATAACCTAGCTGCGAATTCAGACCTCATTATCCTCATCTCTCACCGTCGACAGATATCGTTCTAAATAGGAACCCCCTTCCTTCACTAAACCAACCCCCAACCACGAAAACAAACAAAGAAACCAAAAAATAAAAATAAGAAACAAAAATAAAAGTAGAGGCCAGTTTCTTCAAGGGACTGCCGCATTAACGCCATGAAGGAAGGAGTCACATTGCATTAATGTGACTGCAGCGCTCATCAGCTGTAACTCTGACCTTCTCAGTCTGTCCATTGGTGTACCTAACCTTGGCAAGTGCACCTTTGCTCAAGAAGAGATAGGTCAGCGTAATGTTGCCTTCTCTTGTTGCATAGTGCAAGGCAGGCCTGAACTCGGCGTGGGTCGCATTCAGGACGAGATCTCCATGCGGAATTTGAGCTGTGCATTTGGCTAATTCACCACTGCCCAGCATAATGTGGTCTGGCCGAAGTTATCCTTTGCGCCACGACATGGTTCTTCTCTTGAAGCCTATGTCATGCTCTATAACATTGTGGTTGCGTTGCACGACCGAACTCTATCTGAGGACAGTATCCCTGATATTGTGAGATTGCTGGGTTTGTCCTTCAAGAAGGTGTATATATGGAAAGCATACACTTGCTATGGAATTACGCAGTGTGGCGCGTCGCGACACTGATGCAAGATGTTGTCTTAGGCAGAATGCACCAAAGGTTACCACTACTAGTAAACATTTGTCGTGCGATGTGGGATGTTAAGCCCTGCTAAATGACTATGAGTCATCCAGTTAAGAGTTTTTGCGCATGCTTCATTCATATAAGCTGAGCTATCGATGTTCAAGTCTATGGCCTCCTGGGGCTGGGCTAGCCCATAGTTTCACAGGTCTAGCCGCTGATTAGGAGCCGTAAGCTTGCCCTCTCGAAATTGAGTGATCCGTTCGAAAAGCTGGGCTCGCAGCCAGCGGCCCTTTTTCTTGCATATCGATGCATGTCTGTCGACGTCATTACTTGTGAGATCATATGTACCATACCTGCATAGCCGTGAAAAAACGTGCTCAGCTGACACCATACTACGTGGAGAAGATCTATGCTTTGAAAGCAGCGTCGACGCGATTAGTACGTGTGGCTATCTACAAAGCACCAATTATTGACCTTTGTCTGTCTTTGTCGCTTTCAAGCACTCGTTGCTTCTGAACACGGCAGTTTGGAGCTGCCCCTCAAAGCTCTCCAAGATCCTCATCTCGGCTACCTCAGGGCTGTTGATATGCACCAGGGCGCATACGACAACATTACCGTTTTCGACCAGGGGGCCCAAATTCCCGCCGACCACTCAGCGGCCAATGATCTGAACAAGATCGTCCGTGCTGAATACGAAGATCCGTTCTACACAGACTTAGCTATTATTCGTTTTCATATATGCACGTCGCAGCGCTTTGCTAATAAACGTTATAGAAAGCCCTTGATGCCTGGAAAACACCCCTCTTCGCCCCGTATTTCCATCAAACCGGGTTTCTGCATTGCGTATCCGGGGACGCACCCCGACAAAGCAATCCAGAGTCCAGACACTAAAGAGATTCGAGACTGCTGCTACCAACCACCCTGTTCTGGGCCCACATGTGGCGCCATTGAGTGGAAAAGAGGATATCTGTCGTTGGTCCTTGCAAGCCGATGGCCATTTGCCGGGATGGAAGGGGTACATCAACAAGTTTGATGGGTATGTCCATTCAGCGAATGCGTTGGCGGCCGTATACAGGGAGACAAAGGCCACTGGCGTGAATTATTCTCTGGGTAAGCATGGAGCCGTGTCACAAATCGTGTATAATCGGGATCAGGACGAAGGTGGGGCGGTTCCACGCAGCTGAGCTGGTGATCGTAGCCGTTGGCGCAGCAGCCGCCAAGCTCGTCCCCGAAATCGGAACTCAGCTCGTTGCGAAGTCATGGTCCGTTGCACATGTACGTCTCTCAGACGAAAAGACCTCCGCATTACGAGGTATCCCCGTCACCTACACCCGGGATTTGGAATTCTACTTCGAGCCTGATCCCCAGACGAACTTGTTGAAACTGTGTCCCATGGGAGGCGGGTACATCAACACGGACCCGACAACTGGGGTATCCCATGCCCTTGAGTCTCTAGAAACGAGTGCATTTATGCCGCATGAGGATGAATCCCGAGTCCGCCGGCTGCTGGCCCAGACGCTGCCTAAGTTGGCGAAGAGGCCTCCTGGTGCGCAAATCCCTATGCTGGTTTGCAGATACAAGGACTCGGATTTCATCATCGATTATGTGCCGAATACTGCGTCGTCGGTTGTGTTGCTTTCCGGTGACTCTGGGCATGTGTTTTTCTAGATGTTTCCGATTGTGGGGAGCTGGGTGAGAGATATGCTTCAGGGACCGCATAACAAGCAACCTGTTGCCAGATGGCGGAAGGAACCGAAGGCAAACCACGCTGAGAACGGGGTGGTGATGTGAGCTGGAGGCTGGGGGAGTCAAGGGAATTCAAGGACATTCTTCCAGGTAGGGTGAAGCTTTAAGTATTCCGCAGCATCAATTAGTTGAGTTTCGCACGCCTCTTTCTGTCATGTCAATAAAACGCATTCCCTCGTATCAAGAATCCAGAATTCATCATCATGATATTGAAGCCCGCTACACAACCTTGTTGCCTCTGCTCCGTAACCCAGGTACAATCCAAGTCCCGCACGATCTTACAGAATATGTCCCGATGTAGACACAGGATCATTGCCGACCGGAATACAACGACCTACAACGTCACAGCCATGAATGCATCTTTACCTCTATCTGTCC